TTTTACCCTGGTCAGGAAAGAAAATAGGAACCATGAGATAAATAAAATAATACAATTGGACGTGAAACATATCCCAATTTAAAGATGCAAACCACATCTTCAGCATTTGTGATTACGGATATCTGTGGCTTTAAAAAGTGCAGACGAATTTCAGAAAACCATGACTTAAAAAGTCCCCCATATCTTCAGTCTTTAAGCAACAGAAATTTATATAACTATTGAATGACGCACCATCAAGTACAGCATTGGCAACATCAGTAGCTTCTGCACGTGTAGGTCTCAAGTTGCTAGTCATGCTGTCTACCACACGAGTCAAAACAGCGGGCTTTCCAGCCATATTACACCTATGAAGGGCAGTTTTCTGAAACAAGAATACCTGAACAAAAAAATGTCAATCAGTGCAAAAAACCAAAGAAAAAAAAAGAAACAAAAAGCCCATGAGGAAGTTCGGACCCAGCCGCTTAACGGGGGGGCTGGACATTGGTACTATCAGGGCCAAAAGCATTTTCTGTAAAAACAAAAATGTGAACTGAATTATACTAATACAGAAACGTTTTAAAGTTGAGGGGGATTAGTCCAAATGTAGATCTGCATCTGAGAAAAAGGTTTTGGTCATGCATGGAGGAGGTGGATCTATGGGTGCCATTCTAGTGCCATTATTTTCATTTTTCTAAATGAGAAGCCTAGAGGAAATCCTTCTATTATAGTGCCCTTTCCATCTCCACATGAAAAGGAAATCCTCTAGTGCAACCTACTCAGTTGGTAGAGCATCTTATTACGTGTGCACTAACAGAGAAACCGGCAGAGAGGAAAGCCCAAAATCAAGAAAACTAAACCTAAAATTATGCCAGCCTTGGAAGAAGTATGCAAAAGTTATTTGGCTCAATTCTCTTAAATCCCTTTAGAAGAATGTGAGGGTTATAAGGTTATTTCAAGGGGTAGAAACCTCTTTTTTGGATCACTGCTGATTGGCTTTCTTGCGACCATGAAGTGTCCTCCAAGTATACCAATTGGGGCGGTTATTTTATAACCCCTCTTCTTAGTTCTTACAAAGAAAAGAAGGATACTAATGTAATGTTTCTTAATACACCTCCCCCAATAGAGGAGGAGAGGTAGAGAGACTACCACTGCCTACTTTATGGAAAACAAAGATAAGTACGAGAATAGCCATATTCTTTTCATTACAACACCGTTCAAACAAAACTATCCCTTAGTTAATTAGCATGCATAGAAACTAACCTTCTCAGGAGGAAGATCTAACCCCAAATTGCCACGAGCAAGAATAATACCATCTGCTTCTTGTAGTATCTCATCAAAATGGGTTAATCCCTAAGGAAGGGAACACAAAAGTATGCAGGCATCTAAATTAGTACCATTGTACGTTGATATATTAAGAAAACAGTCTTACTACCAAAGAATATGAGTGAAAAGTGAGCTAACAACGACCGACCTCAACGCTTTCAATCTTCGCAAAGATATGAGTTTGGCTAAGGTTGCCTAGCTTAGAAAGAAATTGTCGAGCCTGCATAAAAATATATTTTAGCATTCTATTATCCTCTATCGTAATAATCAACATAACCGAATCTATAACCGAATCTCTCATGGTCAATTATTTGTTTAAATTGAAGACTCAATGCAAGGAAATAATACTTGGCGAACATCCTCCGCTTGTCTAGCATGTGAGAGAGAGAGGAAGTCAATCTTGTTTTTTACTCCCCACGTCGCTATAATCTAAAATCACCAAATAACCAATAATACAATTATCAGCAAAAAATGATATGGTTACCGAAGCTAATTGGAAGCAATCAGTCTTAAGGGACATAACAAACAGGAAATCAAAGAACCAACCTCCTTATCTTTGTCAGTAAGTGTTGGAAGATCAATGCGAATTTCAGCTGCATGCAAAGTGTACATTGTTCCAACCAACGTGGCAGAGTTCTTTACCAAGCAAAGAACATCATCTCCTTTCACTTCGGAGACCTGATAAATCCCAAACAGACAGTACTTCAGTATAACATCTTTTACCATGATTTCATACTACTTTGAAATATAGTTAAATTGGGTGTAGATCATTTGAACATTTACTTAAAATTTCTCTATCAAAAAATAAGTAAATTATATGTCACAGCATTCAATATACCTATCATCCACGCCCAAAATATACAAACACAAGAAAACAAGCAGAGAAGAAATTATTGATGATCCCAAACAATATGCTCTGTTACCTCCAGCCAGACAGAAGTTGTTTCACTTCCAGTGAAGAGGTACTGACCAAGAAAAAGGGTGTCTCCTTTCTTAACGACCTACAAGACAATATCAAGCTTAGAATTATGATAACCAACGCAGTGTCGGAAAAACACTTAACATTTTATAAAGTTTGACTTTGCAAATATATTGTTTGAATAAATTCAAGGATATTAAAAGCACAGCCTCTTTTCAATGGTTAATGAAAAACTCATATTTGTCTGTCAGATGTTCCAAAAATTATATATTTGTCTCCATAAGATGCAATCAACAATCTGGATCTTGAGCATCAATAAATGAACAATCAGTAGTATTTCCCAACCTTTGAAAGTCCATCATAACTTATAGGCAGCAGCTCCGAAGACGCCTCTATTTCTTGATTGGGTGTCAAAACAACCAACTCATCTTCCTTAAGAGAGATAGATTTCTCACTTCTGTTTACAACCAGGATCTCAGGACCCACTGTATCCAGCATAACCTGAAAAAAGCAGAAGACTTCTCATTGTCTCTTTCAGAATACTTGCAGATAGAAATTTGAGAACAATATCTTTAACATTCTTTGGCCACATTGTCTCACGCATTAAAGAATATTGATTTGCCTAAGTTACTCCCATGAATGGGAAAGTTAAAATGATAATAGATACACCCAAACAAGTGAAAGAAAAAGTTAAACACGAACATACAGCGCAAAGTTTGTTGGTGTTCTTAACAGCCGCCTTCAAATTGTCCAAAGTTTCTTGGTGGTAATCAGGACTGCCCCATGAAAAGTCGAACCGAGCAACTGCCACAACATGAAAAAAAAAATAATGATCAACAAAAGTTGAACAGGCTCAGGATAAATTTAAATCAACAATGAGGAAATATATCGCACAAAAACGCATTATCCGCAAGAAAAAAGAAAGTCGCTAACGAAGCCAGCCATACCAGACATTCCAGCCCTTAGACAGGCAGAAATAACTTCGACAGATCGGGACTTAGGGCCCAAAGTACCAACAATCTTCGTCATTGTCGGCAAGACGCTCTGGAAGACAATAAACAACAACACAAAAAAGAAATCAGTTGATTAAACTCGAAACAAAAGATCAACTCACATCAAACGCACACAATGCAAATCAAAGAAAATCCACGACAGAAATAGTAACAATGGAACTTCTAATTCAAAGATCGAAGTGAAATCAAGGTAACCAGTGCTCAAATCTGGAAACAGTAACAGAAGTAGACGAAAAAACACTGAAAGAAAACAAGACTTACATCCTTGGAAGGCTCCAAAATGGAAGCCATCCTAATAGGTTCCTCAAGAAGCAAGTGATTCGAAGGCATTTCGTTAAACAGTAAGTACCACTTCCTCCAGCCTCCAAAGAAGCGAACAACAATTTGAGAGAGGAGATGAATGTAGTAGATTCAGAGGATGGTTAATATATTCCTTGGAAATGAAGCTACTTTTCGTTCTCTGACCTGGATATGCAGTAAGAGCAAAACCAGGTTCTGCAGCGGGAGAATCAAAACCAGAGGAAGAACATTCCAGTGTTCAAATTCCCGAAACTGGCGAGATTTTGGTCAATGCATGCACTTGAAATGACGATTTACCGACGATTATGCTTTATTTCATAAAACACAAAGGTCCCACCTAACTTCTACTGTTTTTTTCTCTATAAAGTCCCGCGACAAATTTTTCAGCTCACAAAAATAAAATAAAAATAATATTATTTTATTAGATTCTATTTTTATTTTTTAAAACCTTTTCAATAATTATATAACTTTTTTCTTTTTTCCTTTTTCAAGAGGACGTAAAGTACCAATTTAATAATTTAAAGCGTGTTTTATAAATTGGTTTTTAGAAAGAAAAAAAGTTTAATAATAAAAAGCTAATAGCAAAAAAATATATTAATTTTTATATAGAAATAGAGTATTAAGAACAAATGAATGAGATTTTGGAGTTTGTTTTTTTATTAAAAAAAAAAAAGGTAAACTATAAGAATAAAAATAATTATAGAATGGTTAAAATAAATTAAAATTGGGGAACCCATTGGTTTTTAATAACTATTGGAGCCCATTGTTTTTGGTTGCAAAAAAAAAAAAAAAAAAAAAAAATTAAAATTAAAAAAGGAAGGTAATGTAAATCACTTTTGTTTTCTTTAATCAATAGTTTTTTTGAAACTTGAAATTTGAATTTGGCTGAATTTGTTGGTGAATAAAAAATACCCACTTAATTGATATATAATAATATTAAAATCTATTAGTGTGTTTTTTCAAGGAATAATAGAAAAAACATAAAATGAAATTAGAATGAACAAATTTATTGATTTGTTAATAGAATAGTTCAAAACTTTATATTTTCATTTAAAATATTTATATTGGTAAATAGTAATTGGCACATATATTTATATATATATATATATATTAATTGTAATTTTTATTGGAATTTACGATTTAAAAAATTACGACATTATAATTCTAAAAAAACAAAAATGTGTCACTTTCATTGGTGTAAAACGAAACGCATGCAGGAGGAAGACAAAAGACGAGATTGAGCGGGAAGAGGACGTGAATCACGTGACACACGTGACACCACATTTCAGTCGGTGCGATATGAATAAATAAAATTCTAACCATTCTTTTTTTTTTTTTTTTATGAATTTTAATAAAAACAATAAATGTTTATTTTAATTTTTTTCATATATTTTTTTGGTCTGTATTATTATTCATATGTCATTGAATTAGTAAATAAATTGAAAAAAACAATGAGGGGCAACTAATTCAGGGAATAGAAAATTCTTGGGAGTTTAATTTATTAAATTAACTGGAAACAAATAAGAAAAAGCCTCCCCCCTCCAACAACAGCAAATAGGAATACGATCAAAAACTAGAAATATCACAACAGCTCCTCTGCTGCTGCTGCTGCTGCAAATGGCAATAGCATATAGAAATAAAACTAAGCGAATTGGGATTTTTTTCCATGAACTCGCCATGGCTTCTAATCGGAAAGTCAAAAAATAGGTGTTTTATGAGTGTCATTTTACACTTTTTCCACTTTTATCATGTCTCCTCAATCAATGTCCAAAAACCAAGTGTCTGTATAGTAATACCTCATGGTGGTGGTGACAGCACCAGAATAACTGTCAATCAAAATTTTTATCTGGAAAGGGCAAGGCTATTTAGTTTGTTCGTTCGTTCAATCTTCCAGCTCGATGATCTTCACCACAGATGCATCCCCAACCTTCTGGCACACAACAACTCGGTCATGTGGCTTGATTACTCCATATGCTTTGCCGTGATCCAGAGCAACCTTTAGAACTGACTCGTTTGTTGCGCTAGTCGACTCCGCCTACAAATTACCATTTGAATACAATTGGCACCGCCTTATCAAATGTATGATTTGATATAGTTCAAATGTTTTTTTTTTTTTTTTTAATCTGAAGAACATGATACTATTTGACTTTTTTGGCTTCCAGTGCTTTATGTACCAGAAGTTGAATAATTCAAGAGAAAATAATTAGAAAAATCTGAACAACATAATGACTATTGTCCTTTTTGATTTTCAATGAAGACTGACGTGCTAGAACTCTATTAATATGCACATACACATGGGCAAATCTCCCTTTTCCCGTGTGTGCGTCTATTTGATTATTTATTATGCAAGTTCATAACGAACTAAATACGAGGTTGGTAATTACTATTTAGGAGGGTTACAGCAGATCATAGAAATGAATTCTAACTTCTAAAACTAAAGGGACCAAAATTCTAAACTTTTTAAATATCATAGGAGCCAAATTTTTATTGAAAACAACAAAGCAGGTATGGATATGATATAGACCAACAAACAAACCCTTATGAATAATTTGGAAGTCCTCAGTAAAAAGATCACTAATGAGATTAGCGGATTCTGATATAATTCACTCTTCATCAACAAATCAAAGCAAAATGGAAAATGGAACTTACAGGATGTCGTGGATCAGCAAGCATGGGGAAGAGGCCTCTTACTATCAATGACTGCCTAGCCTGAAATAGAACAAGACCAAATAACACCTTGTCAAAGACAAACTATCAGCATTTAGCTTCAACACGAATTGCACGAAGTGCATACGGTGAAGGATGATATTTAATCTGACTAATCTGACCGCAGCATTTAGTATTTATCTAAACGAATACCTAACTTCTTATTGAAGATTAATACTCACCTCTAAAACAGAGAATTATATAATCACCTCATACACAAACTTCGCTAATGAATTTCAGATAGTACACAATTTAAATGCATTGTCAACAAGTTCAAAATCATAAATACTAATTCCTTTTCGGCAATCTGATTAATTATTTTTCTTCTTTCAAAAAAGCACAAGAAAAAGAAGGCACAGTAGCAAAAGACAGCATTGTACAATCACTAGTAGCTAGAATTGAGGCAAAATCCATAAAAAGGACTCCCTTTACTGAATCACCCACCCCAAGTGTAGAAATTTTTTATTTGTTAAAATATTCGTGTACGAAGCTCTCAATGAGACAAAAAACAATGTAGAAAATTGCCCAACATGTTATAAGAAAATACCTCAAATGCACCACTAAAGCTCCACCTCAACTGATTTGTCTTCAGCCTAGGAATGACTACAGATATAACTGGCATCGTGGGCCTATATTTAGCAATTAATCTGCATATTCATACAGCAAGTTTAGACTTCTATGAAATAAATAGCAGCAAATTTTTTAAGAGAACTTCAGCTTGTTTGAAGACCAAAACTGGAGTCCGAACCCCAATACCTTGCAGCTCTTCCAGATGAAGTGAAGCAAATAATAACTGAAGCCTTCACCTTAATGGCAGCCCTAACCTAAAAACAGAATAAACCTATTGCACATGAAACCCACGGTAGAACTACAACAATTATAAAAATGATTGCTGCTAAAACAATTGAAAATAAAAAAAATACAGTAACCAGAATAATGAACCAGTACCGCTGAGGAAGCAATGGACTCCAAGTGCGTCATAGGTTCACCAACAAATTTGACAGTCTTCTTGAAATACAAATCTTGATTGAACACCTTCTCGGACTGCATATTTTAAGGAAACAAGGGAACCCAGGGGGTATAAATATAAACACTTAAAAAGAAAAAGGAATCAACATTATAGACGGTGATAAATCCACACAGCCTTCAAGTTTATAACAACGACTCTTTATAAGTTTATAATGCCATAGAACATTAGGTCTAGCAGACAAAGGTCAAATGTGACATGCATCTCTCTTCTAAACAGTTAAAATAATGACTGAATCGTAGGGAATATACATCAAGAAGAGGAAATACTAAAGCTGAAAAGAACAAATACTATGAGTATCAAGATCTACAGCTAGAATAGGATGGTTACAAATCTCATGGTTGGCAAATACGCTCACCAGTCATAAGTTAGAAGATTGAGGAAAACAAGTCCTATTTCTTCCCAACTAGAAAAACAAATCATTCTATAACCAACTTTGGTCATTGGAACATGGGATATAATCGACACCACAAAAAATAAAAAAGTTGCGACGTGAAAGTTGAGAAAATAACAAAAATCCTTGATAGAAACAGATCTCAACGAAGCCAACATGTAACTAATAACAGAGAGTATTTGTATATATAAAGAGAGAGAGAGATGGACAGAGAACATTTACCTCGGCACAAATCCTACCAACAGTTGAAATCGTCTCTACGGGATACTGTCCACGCAAAGTCTCAGCACCCAGAAGAATTGCATCACTTCCTGCATCCATGAGAATAGTTTAACCAAAGCAAATGTGAATTGTAAAATGACCGAGTTAAATGGAAAAGTCATGGTACATCCATAACTTAAGCTGTTAACCAACAATTTCATAAAAAGGCTGTATCATCCGTCTTTAACACAATATACTTTCTCATTATTATTGCAAAACTTACCATCAATACTTTCTCATTATTATTGCAAAACTTACCATCAAGGACAGCATTTGCAACATCAGTAGCTTCTGCACGAGTAGGCCTTAAATTGTTGGTCATACTGTCCACGACACGAGTAACCACAGCAGGCTTTCCAGCCATGTTACACTTGTAAAGGGCAGCCTTTTGAAATAAAAACACCTACAATATATGGAGAAGTGATCAGAAAAAAGCCTACCTTGAGCTTTAGATCCTTATCATCACAACAAGAAGAAAATTATAATTGAACCAAGACCATTAATGAGGGGAATATTATAATACATTCAACCACATGAATTTGGAGTTTCAAAGACGACCATGGCTTCATTCCTCGTCCTATCAAGCTTGTGTAGGCACTAATTTTCTGTTGGACATGACAGTTGACATTTTTCTAACTAGTTTGATAGAGCTAAATTTAAGACCCGGTGAAAAATCAAAGGGAAAATCATATAATTAGCTTGTGAATAAAATAATAGAATTTTCCAACAGATATATCAGTACAGCATCATTTCCCAGCTGTCCTCTCATGTACGAGAAGTAAACGGTTTCAATTCTCTTCCCATTCAAACAAGTATCAAGTCTCAAACACAAGCATCAGCTCAAAAATGCAATCAGAATGAAAACATCCAGAAAAAAATAGATACAAGTAATTGGTGGAAATTAACTTGACATTGCAGCAAGACTAAATTTAGAGATTGTACTCAAGGAAACTAACCTTCTCGGGTGGGAGATCTATACCCAAATTCCCACGGGAAAGAATAATACCATCTGCTTCGCGTAGAATCTCATCAAAATGGGTTAACCCCTAAAAATAGGATCACAGAAATATGCGATTGTCTAAGTCAGCATTAGTATAGCTCGACCCACCCCCAAAAAAAACTAAATATGACTTACCTCAACAGTTTCAATTTTGGCAAAGATTTGGGTTTGGCTAAGGTCACCTAATTTAGAAAGGAATTCACGAGCCTGTATAACAATATAAAAACCGTCTGATTCGAAATATCTAGAAAAAAAAAAGGTGGGAGAGAGCTCAGTGTAAAGAAATATACTTGTCGAACGTCTTCTGCATGTCTGGTATATGACAATGAGAGGAAATCAATTTTGTTTTGCACACCCCAACTAGAGATAACCTGAAATTAACAGTGCAATACACGATATTAAGTACCAATATGTGGCAATGGAGCCACCAAGGAAAATGACAATATGTAAATCAGAAAGCTCACCCACCTCCTTATCCTTATCCGTAAGTGTCGGAAGGTTAATATGAATTTGAGAGCCATGTAAAGTGAACAGTGATCCGGACAGTGTGGCAGAGTTCTTAACCGTACAAACGACATCATCGCCTTTGACTTCAGAAACCTGATCAAATTTCCAGCAAAAACACGGTCATGTACAAATTCATACCTTTGGCATGATATTCTTCTGCAACAAACACTATTATGACTTTATGTGGTAAGCTATAATTTCCCGATTTGAAATCATCCAGATAAGAAGTAAAATTTCAAATCACACACAAATGAAATGCAGCTACTATCTGGAAGACCCGTAGTTTTAACATGCAACCACAAACCAACTGAACGAGGGAAAGAATTGGCAACAGATACTAGAAGGTTTTACTCACCTCCATCCATACAGAAGTCGATTCACTTCCAGTGAAAAGGTATTGACCCACAAAAATGGTGTCTCCTTTCTTTACAGCCTACAAGAGACAAAGTAAAGAATTGTTATCTGACAAAGATAACTAATATCAATGGTAGTTGAGTAGTCAAATTAGAAGCTTCATAACACTTTCACAATTACGTGCTAGAAGCAATCAGTAAAGTTAGAAAGATAACCAAATTGATGGTAAATGAGACATGTTTGACTTAAATTAGATTAATTTCTTAAGCATATTTGTAACTTGAAACAAACATTTCATTAAGACTTTTCTCACACTAAAGAAGGATTGTTCTAAGACTTAAATAAAGCACTGAGAATTTTCTTTTTTCTTTTTTTATTTATTTATAATCTCACTCTTAGGTTTCAAAATCTTTTATTGTCATTTAGAAAAACATTTAAATACATTTATCAGCATCCATATCATAATTTCCTTGTTTTACAATATTAGACTAGCATTTTAAATAACCATGGGTGTACAGCCATAACGAAACTAGTACGAGTAAGATATCCAGAATCGAGAAACCCCATAAACATAAATATTCTCGGTGACTACAAACAAGACTAAGAATGAGTGACTTCAAAGGCTTCAAAGTTCATTACTAGCTTTTTGTGACAAATGGATCAACCCATGGTAATTTAGTAGGACCTAATCAAAAGTTTATACATTGTTAACCAACAAGACATCATCAAACCTGAAGATTTGTTTGTGAGAGGATATTTCCAGTAACGTATCACAATGATATCAAGAGAACAAGACAAACTTTCAACAGCTAGTCCAACTAACATGGCCAAACTAACCAAAATCAAATTCATTATTACTTTGCCCATGGGACAGCCATCATGAAAATAACAACAATATGAAGTTCCATACCTGTGAAAGTCCAGTAAAGTTAATAGGCAAGAGATCCGAAGTTGCCTCAAGCTCTTGATTGGGCGTTAGGACAACTACGGCATCTTCCTTTAGTGAAATAGACTTCTCAGTTTTATTCAGTACTTGCAACTCAGGGCCCACGGTATCCAGCATTACCTGAAAGAGCAGAAGGCACGTAGAACACTCGGCATTAAATAGGTGAGGCAGAAATAATATTACATCAGTAGAATTTATTCTAGGATCTAACTGCAAAACTACCTCCTTTCAAAAAATAACGCCTCCTCATAACTCATACCAGAGAAGTAAAGTATTAAACAATGACAGGAAAAAAAAAACTTCATACACAAAATCCTCAACCAACAAGTAATCCAACAATATGACAACACAAATACATAGCAGAGTCTACATATATAGATAATTTCAAATGACAATCACATACAGCGCAAAGCTTCTTAGTGATCTTCACGGCCGCCTTCAAATTTTCCAAAGTCTCCTGATGATATTCAGAGTCACCCCAAGAAAAGTCGAAACGAGCAACTATCACGAAGAAACCAAAAGCTCTTAGGAACATAAAATATCAAAATATGAGACAGAATGGAAACGAGAAAATAACAACAAAAGTATACCCGACATTCCAGCCTTCAAACAACCAGATATCAACTCAACAGATCGAGACCTTGGACCAAGAGTTCCAACGATCTTCGTCATAGCAGGAAAGAAACTCTGAAAAACAATTATCAATAAACAAATCGTCAAACCAATAAAATACACAAAACGAGAACGATGGTTTCACAAGTGCAAAGAACATTAATACACCAAAAAATGAACAAAACAATCAACAACAAATCACAAGACATATTCATAATCGAATAAACAGCTTCATAGATCGAAGATGAATGAGAGGGGAACTTACAGCCTTGGATGGCTCGAGGATGGAGGCCATGCGAATAGGCTCCTCGAGAAGCAAGTGATTGGAATGCATCTTGGATGACGAGTGCAATCGGAGGCGACTGAGAAGAACTTGAAAATGGGAATTGAAATCGGAGGAAGATGAATATGAAGAGAAGGAAATGAATCAGAAATGGAAGGAATGGATCCTTTTGAGACACTTTCTATCTCTGACTCCGAGAGCGGAATAAGAGAAAACCTGGTTCTGCGCTTCAACCAGAAACTGTAACTAAAGTACAATTATATTTTTCGCCCTCCCTGCTTCTTCGGGTTTGAGGGTAAAATTGTAAATATGCATGCTAAAGTTATATTGATTAAACTATTCACTAAATTAATAAAATTATCTTAAAAGTACTTTTAAACTTTAAAAATAAAAATACAAAATACCGTTACCTTAATTTTAAATATAAATTATTAATACTTAATACCTTTTAACTTTTAAAATATTTCAATATTTTATTAATGCTTTTAAATTTTGTAAAAAAAAAAATTAAAGATACCATGTTTTTAAAATATTTATAAATTTTTAAGATTATATTTAAAAATGTGAAGATAATCTATAAAATATTCATAAACGATTTTTATCCATATATTGATAATAAAAAAAATTGAATTCGATGTTATTTCTAAAATCACATATGTATTTTTAAACTTTTTTAAAATTTAAAAATATTTTTGAAACATTATTAAAAGTTTACGGTAAATTTTTTTTTTTATATTGTTAAATTTTTTGAAAAGTCAGAGATATTATTAAAATATTTATAGAGTTTAGAGATATTTTTATTAATTTAACCTAAAAAACTTTATACTTAAAAAAAATATAAAAATTATATAAAATAAATAAATTATGACCCTAAACAGTTTTTGGTAATTTTAAGAAAAAGAAAAGTATAATTTAAATAAAATAACACATACCATATATAAAATAATAAAATAAATAAAATTTGATTTCTTGGCTAACAAGTTAAATATAATAAAATACTATAACAACACAAGATATTTCTTTATTTATTTTTTTTACTGAATACAAACTGAGCCCACTGTATAGTAAATCGCTTTCCAGTTGACTTTCCTCGTTATTCGCATTCAAAGTTACCCACCGTAAGAAAATGTTACGCCCACAGATTTCACTTTTTATCTTTGCTTTCACATCCTCCAATTTTATTAAATACAAAAAGATACCCTTCGTAGTCCCTCAACTCTTTCTCTTACTATTTTAACCTCAACTTAACTAGCGACCAGATTAAAAATATATTTAAACCATAAAACCCAAAATTGTAATTTGCAGAAAAAAAAAAAAAAAAAAAAAGCAAATAATCGCTAAAAAGACGGAGTTATTAGGGAGGACGGCGGCGAGAAATTGACGAGTTGTAAAAATGATCGGAGCCGAGGAATACGTGTCGTGATTCGTGGAAATGATTATGGCGTCAAAATGCCGCACAAAATCAACTGCCCTTGCCCAACGCCGGTCAACCAAGCCCTTTGAAAAGTTTAAGTAAATGTGTATTAATCTCGACCATAATCAATTAAAACGGTTATTGGGCTTTGGGCTTTGGGCTTTGGGCTTTTTCCAACTTTCTTCGGGTCGAAAGCCCAAAGCCCAAAAACATCTGGAAAATATTTTATTTTGTACATATATAAATTATATATTTTTGAGGTCAAAACTGGTATGTACAAGAAGCTGCCCTGCCCTGCCCTACTGGCAGAAAGGTAAAGCTTCAGCTGCCCGAACCTGTTTATTTTTAATTTTATTTATTTAATAAATTGACCACCGTTCAAATATATGTGGCCATCTTTTTCTTCAACATTTCCAATTTTTTTTTAATCATATATTAAAATAAATACAGCTAATTTCTTTCTTTACCAATAAGGTCAAAACTTTGAAATTTTTAGTCCCTTTTATAAATATTAAATTAATTATCATATGTTACTCGATACAAATAATGAGATATAGACAAAAAAAAAAATTGATTTGAATGGCAAGTTTTAATTTAAGAATAAAATTTATATTTAATTTACTCTTTTAAATAAAATTTTAAATTTTAAATTTTGTGTTTAATAAAATATCTAATTTATGTTTAAAATTTTAGAAAGTTAATTGAATAAAAAAAAAAAAAAAGCATTTAATTTCATTTGAGGTTAGGTTTTGAGTCCATTTAAATTGGACCATATGATGTGGCATCAATCACTCAACTACTCCCTTTAAAACCTAATTAAGACCGTCCAATCACCAAGATCTAAAATAAAAGGTTGCAAGTTTTTTAGACCCCTTTTTATCCTTTTAATTAAATTTAGCCCCCACATTCATTGAGGTCGTGGTCGGAATAAAATTACAAAAAAGGGCCTTGCTTTTTGTTTAATTCAAAGGACGCCCAGTTTCCCGTCGTTGACTTTCTAATAAAGTTAAAATATTTAATAATTTAAGACTTTTTTTCTTTTCACTTTGTGCTTTGAGAATCCAGCTCAAAGCAAGAATGCTTTAGATTTAACCCACCTCTATTATTTATATATATACACGTACGTACGAATGAGACTCATACATGAATGTTAATGCCATGTATTATCATATTAGATACGTTCATGAGCTTTACTGATATGGTGATGATTATTTATTTAATATAATGACCATAAAATACACATGTATAGTTTGATTCAATAATAAATTAGGAATAATTAACCTTCTAAATATATTGGACCAAAAGGGCATTTTAGATTATTTTATTTTATTTTATTTTATTGATAAAAATTATGTGGGGGAGAATTTAATAATGTGTTAAATTATAAAACTGTGAAAACAATCTTCCAAACACCTTCTTATTTGTCATATTCAAACGTTAATTACATTAATATATTTGAAATGTTTTTTCTTCTTTCTTTTTTTATTTTTTTTTATTTTTGCAATTTTCTATTTAAATTTATATTTTAAATAAATCATTGGAAAAAAAAATGGTGAATATTATGGAATATAAAGAAATAAATAAAGTGTGGAGAGCCTAAAAAAGAAAATAATAGTTAGTTGAGAATTAGGTACGGAGTCTTTATACAACGGGGAACATTTATTCCATTATATATATATATATATATTCTCCAATATATTAATTAATTAACAAAAAAGAAAATATCTTTTTTGAATTTGTTTTTTCCGAAGGAGTTTAATGGAATTTCACCTCTCTCTCTCTATTGCCCTACCATATTCACGTTTTAATTATTATATTTCCAATATATTTATTTATTTATTTATCTATTTAATCAACGATTTTCAAAGACGTACTTCCAAGTAATATCGCAATGCTCAAACAAAAAAAAAAAAACAAATAATAAAAAAACGTGTTTAAATCAATTCATTTCTAGATATTTTTCAAAATATTCCAAATAAAAAAAACTTCATAACGATAGATGAGTTAAAATTGTCTTTGTATTCCGATCACTTTCAAGTTTATAATAAATATTCGGCATGATCACGACCCGATAAATTAGGGATTTTCAATTTAAGTTAGTTGAATTTTTGTAAAACATAAAATCTTGGTTGATTCACGGATTGACGGTTGTAACTAAGGTTAGTGGTGTGTGGCTGGTAAATATTTACTATTTGAGCTTTGTGTTATTTTAGTTATTAATGTACCGAAAAATATGTTTTTTTTTAAGATGATTTTATATATAAAAAACAACCCGTAGACTCAACTTCAAAATAAAGCTTCGATTGAGTTATGAACTTTATTCGAGCTATTTGAATTATCAACCTAACTAACGCGAAACTTTGGATTGGTCCCGAAGATTTTATCGAACCAACCCGTATTTATCAGATAATAATAATTAAAATTAGATGTATACCTATGATTTGATTGTTATTAAAATTAGATATATTCCTATTATTTGATTGGTCTTAAAATTCTTTTTTTAATGGAAGTACGCTAAAAGTTGATATTGACTTATGGCTACTCAATTTAAATATATATTTTTAATGATTTTTAAAAAAGTTATATTTTTTAAATAAAATGTTTCCATAAGAAACCAGCTGTAGGTTTTTTTTTTTTTTTTTTAATTAATAAGTTTATATGTATTATTGACACTTTTGAACAAAATTAATTAATATCTTGAAATAAAAACATTTAATTTTGGTAAACAAAATTAACACGCCATCGCCATAATAAATGGAGACACTGTATATCATTTTCATAATACCTCCAAAATCTATGTGCTCTGTGTTAATTTCAAATATCTATTTTGTTTTTCATATAATATTCTTTTTATGAAAAAATTAATTTAAGAATATTGTCAATTTTGAACACAAAGTCTCGTTGCTTTTCTTAGGACTATCCCGAAAGGCCCACATCAATAGAGATATATTTCTTAATTATAAACTCATATCATTTTCTAAATTAGTCGATGTGACTTTCATCCAACACAATTAACGTGAAATCTCACATGGATCATAACGTGACTATGGCGTAGGAGTATGTTGAGGTCATTAGATATTGAATCTCGATCCAAATCCTTGACATAGAATCTCAAGAAGAATATATTTTTTATCGACCAAGAAAAAGTGACCTTTTACCATAGAAATTTATGAAGATAAGGGGAACACTTCCCGAGATACGTAACACATTCATCTTATACGCTAGGATCCATATCAACCTTAATTTATAAGAATATTATTTTGTCATACATCAATGGTTCAAATAAACAATATAATTCGGGTTTTTTTTTTTATAAAAAATTAAATTACAAATTAAATTCTTTAGTCTATTTATAAATTAATTTAAACAAATAATGGTCAGTTAAAACAATACCAACAAAAAAAAAAAACAAAAGAACACATTACAGCAATATAAATACAAATTTCACAGACAAAATTAAAATTCCAATTTAAATATAATTATTAAAAAAAAAAAAAAAGGTTATATAAACCTCCCTCCCCTGCTTTCTTCCTTTTTTATTTATTGCTGCTTCTGCTTCCCTTTCCACTGCAGCAGAAGCAGAAAAAAAGCCCTAAAAATCCCTTTATTTCTTGGTTTTTTTTTCTTCATCCCTTCAAACGACAGATCGGAAATGGAGGGTGTTTCGTCGGCGGCGCTTCTGCAGGAGACATTACAAGGAGGAACAGACGACATAGCGTTTCAAGCTTCGTTGATTTGGGATGCAATCAGAGCTCCGGTGGTTGTTCCTCTGCTCCGTCTCTCTGTTTTTCTCTGTTTGGTAATGTCGGTAATGTTGTTCGTGGAGAGAGTTTATATGGGTGTTGTCATTGCTTTTGTTAAGCTTCTTCGAAGAAAACCAGAAAAGAGGTATAAATGGGAACCCATGAAAGACGATATCGAGCTTGGAAACTCTGTTTATCCCATGATTTTAGTTCAAATTCCAATGTTCAACGAAAAAGAGGTAAATCTAACCAAACCCACCATACCCTATGATCTGTTTTGAGCCTAACTTCTCTGTAATCGAGTCTTTACTCTTTTCTCTAGAGAATTCTATTGACATGAGCATGACTTTGATATCATGTTACGAATCACTGTTCTTCCTAAATTAAGCAATGTGAGACTCACTTCCAACAATTCTCTAACTCATTACAACAAACACTAAAAAAATGAAGATTTGTTATTGTTTTTGTAGGTTTACCAGCTTTCAATTGGGTCAGCTTGTGGGCTATCGTGGCCGGCGGATCGGATCATAGTTCAAGTTCTAGACGATTCGACGGACCCAACAATCAAGGATTTAGTAGAAACGGAGTGCCACAAATGGGCTAGTAAAGGCATAGACATTAAGTACGAGATTAGAGATAACAGAAATGGCTACAAAGCTGGGGCTCTCAAGGAAGGTCTGAAACGAAGCTATGTTAGGCAATGTGACTTCGTTGTAATTTTCGATGCCGATTTTCAACCCGAACCGGATTTTCTCTGGCGAACCGTTCCTTTCCTTATTCATAACCCGGAAATTGGCCTGGTTCAAGCTCGCTGGAAATTTGGTGAGTCTTGATTATTCATTAATCATTTGAATTAAGCATGTTTTATTTTATTTAATTCTGTGTTTTTAAAACATTAATTAAGGTTAGTTAGAAAATTACCTTTTAGGAAAAATAATTCTTTTAATTAAGCAAGGTTAAAAGTGTCGGCGGGTTTGATTATATATAGTACGACCAAGTCAAATCGTTTAATCTTAGTTTAGTCCACGCGGGCAGCCGATGGATTTGCCACGTGTGATCAACCCCCCCTTTTTGTGTGGGGACCACTTTGCAGGTGACCAACCCTGTTAAATCCAAATAAATAAATTATTTTAAATCATAAAAGTTAGAATTTAATTTTTTTTTTTAAAGAAAAAACAAAATTTTAAATGGCCTAATTTGTATTATATCACTTGAATTTTCCTCACTGTTGGGATTTGCTTGTTCAAATCTGTAGCTTTTTGTTTTATTATTATTTAGTTTTTTTTTTTAATTATGTTATAATATATTTTAAAAGTAATGGAAAATTCTGTTGGGAAAGTTCCTTTATTGCCAAAAGGTCCTTCCGCCATCTTTTTTTCTTTTCTAGAATGCCCTTTACATTCCTCCTATTCCCAAACTACACCTCTTAATTTCAATTTATTAATTTTTGGTTCTTTACACATTTAAAATAATAATGACATAGAATTATTATTTTGGGCAACTGTATGAGTAAATATATTTGGTCAAACTTAGTAAATGAGTTATTAAATTCCTTGATTAAATATGTGACATTACACATTTAATGAAATTATTTCATATATATATAATTAATAAATTTGAGAGGACCTTGGTGAAAAGAATGAGGGGTCGAGGACAAAAGGGGAATGTCCGACAGGAAATCTAAGCAAAACGTCGAGAAGATAAGAGGATGTGTGAAGGAGAAGGAAAAAAATAATAATTAAAACATTTTCATTTCCATTTTTGCCCTCCCACGTCAATATATATTTAATTTAACGGGGTAAAAATAAATGGAATTTTATTTTGAAGTGAGGGGGCAATAGCATGTGGTAAGGACTACGGAATTGAGTGGTGGACCTGGGTTTGGGTCCCACTGGTTTGATGCAAAGTGGATGCCAGAGAGCGAGGGGTTTTTGTGGAATTTGGAATTTATGTTTTTTTTAATTTATTTATTTTTGCAGTTAATGCGGATGAGTGCTTGATGACAAGGATTCAAGAAATGTCATTGGATTATCATTTCACCGTGGAGCAAGAAGTGGGGTCCTCCACTTACGCTTTCTTTGGCTTCAATGGTAATTTTCTCACTTATTTCACCTCTCCCGTTTTTACTTTTTACCCTACATAAGTTAAAATAAATATTAAATTCTGGTTTTGGTGCTGACTCTGATATCATTTATAATAGGTACGGCCGGTGTTTGGAGAATTGAGGCGCTGAACGAGGCGGGAGGGTGGAAGGACCGCACCACCGTGGAGGACATGGACTTGGCGGTCCGTGCAAGTCTAAAGGGCTGGAAATTCTTGTACGTTGCAGATGTTAGAGTGAAAAACGAACTGCCAAGCACACTGAAAGCCTACCGCTACCAGCAGCACCGGTGGTCCTGTGGGCCGGCTAATCTCTTCAGAAAGATGGTCATGGAGATTATCAGAAATAAGGTAACAAAAAGTTCCTTCAAATTAACAATGGAAGAAGAAGTAGAAAGTGAATAATTTTAACCTTTTGCAGAAAGTTACCGCGTGGAAGAAGGTTCATGTGATTTACAGCTTCTTCTTTGTAAGAAAATTGGTAGCCCATATCAACACCTTCGTTTTTTACTGCGTTGTGTTGCCCGCCACCGTGTTGGTGCCGGAAGTTGTGGTACCCAAGTGGGGTTCTGTTTATATTCCGTCCATCGTCACGCTTCTCAATTCTGTCGGTACTCCAAGGTATGTGAGAATATTTGCTGGTGAAATTAAAATGAAAAAAAATAAAATAAATGGATATAAGATATTTATCTATGATAAAATGTGTAACGCTACTGTTATCAATAGGGAGAGGTGTTCTCATTCTTATCGGGAATGTTTTGTTCCCCGTTTCAACCGATGTGAGATCTCACAATCTATCCACTTGAGGGGCTAGTGTCCTCCCTGACACACCGCCCGGTGTCTAACTTTGATACCATTTGTAACAGTTCAAACTCAAAGCTAGCAGATATTATTCTCTTTAGGTTTTCCTTAAGAGCTTTCTCTTAAGGTTTTGAAGCACTTCTGGGAGGTTTCTACACACTTATAAGAAATGTTTCACTCCCCTTTCCAATTGACGTGAGATTTCACAATCCACCTCCTGGGGAGCTAGCATCCTCGTGGGATCTCACAATCCACCCTTTGGGGGCCAATGTCTTCGCTGTGCTCTGATACCATTTGTATTGGCTCAAGGCTACCTCTAGCAAACATTGTCCTCTTTGGGGTTCCCTTACGGGTTTCCCCTCAACGTTTTGAAACGCATTTGGTAGGGAGAAGTCTCCATGTACTTGTAAGGAATGCTTAGTTCCCCTCTTCAATTGATATGGGATCTCACAATCCTCCCCTTGGGGGGCCAGCGTTCTCACTGACACATAACCCAGTGTCTAGATACTATAGTCCTTTTTAGTTTCAACTTTTCGGCTTCCCGCGAGGTTTAAAAACACGTCTAGTAGGGAGAGGTTTCTACACACTTCTAAATACTGTTTCGTTTCCAACCAATATAGAATCTTACAATATGATACCTATGGTAAACTACAATGGAAGACAACTAGATATTTGATTTCAATAAAGGTCATACCCATAGTAAACCATAATCTACTCTATTTAACTCTTAGCAACAAGTTCATCAACTTCGATCAAACATTTTCGGTTCGGTTTGCAGGTCGTTTCATTTAGTATCATTTTGGATTCTGTTCGAGAACGTAATGGCAATGCACAGAACAAAAGGGACCATCATCGGCTTGCTGGAGACAAGCAGAGTGAACGAATGGATAGTGACAGAGAAACTGGGCGACGCCGCCAAAGCCAAAGCTACTTCAGCAAGACAGCATAAGAGGCCTCGCCTCAAAATTGCGGACAGGCTTCATTTATTGGAGCTTGGAGTGGGCGCTTATCTATTCTTCTGTGGCACTTACGACGTTTTCTTTGGTAAAAATCAGTTCTTCATTTTCCTCTTCCTTCAAGCCATAGCCTTCTGCATTGTCGGATTCGGGTACGTCGGAACCGTTGTTTCTTCTTCTTGATCATAATCCGCCGTCACCGCCGCAGCCGTGGTGCAGCCAACTTCATCTCTATATTCATCAAAAGCTTCATTGGGTTTATATATGTATGGTGTTCTGTTGTTATTAGTTTGTAGAGAGGGAGAGGGGAAAAGGGTAGCAAAAAGATGGCCTTTTTCTTTTTGACATGGGAAAGCTTGAAATTAGAGGAAGTTGTTGAGGAAGTCTGTGAATATAATTGATGAAGGGAATACTCAACCATTTACCACCATTTTGGCTCTCTGTTTTACTACCACTACTCTTAAAACATCTGACATCTCGAGCTATCGAGCTATTTTAACGGTTGAAGGTGTACGTAAGGACCGGGCTGACTCGATGACTCTTAAATGACTGGTAAATTTTTCACAAAATAAAACAAACTAATTTAAAAATCATAACATACATTATACTTATAGTGTATCAAAATAAAGTTTATACAAATATTTTAAAACGAAACACTGTTAAAACACAAGTTAAGGGACGCCACAAAAAGGTTGAGGACGACGGGTGAGGTTTGTCTATGGCACCTGCTCCAGAGTCTGCTCCCAACCTTGACCAGCTCCTTATTTCCTGAAAAAAAAATGGAGAATAAGGAATGAGTACAAGACTCAGTAACCACCCTACTTGTAGACTTTTAATCCTGTCCTTGTTATGTTAGGGTATCACACTTTTTTGTTTTCTTGTTCTTGTCGTAAGTTCTTGTTATGTTTTTTAATTCGTTCTCCAAGACATTCCCCTTAAGATTTACGGTACTAGACATAAACTTCTCAACCTGTATCCGATGCTTAATACGTTCCAAGTGACACAGTCTTAATACCTATGCTCAAGGCTTGTTGGGTTCCAAGCAGCGTAGTCTAAGTCATACACATGACGTACTATGGGAAGTCTTAAGGGGCTCTTAATTCATGGCTAGGATATAACACATGCGGAAGCAATTTGGATCTTAGGCACTCTAAGTACATCAATTATAGTGAATTAGCTAGCATGTTCAAAAGCATTAAAACTCAATGAGTTTGAATATTAACCTTTTGTCGCTCAAGTTTCTTTTTCCTCACGAACCGGTTTCGAACCACCACTAGTGTCTTTCCACTATTCTCCGGCCTTAAACGGGATTGTGGAATCGGACTAAACTTGGGAGGGATTTAGTATATATGAAGAGAGAGTTTGTGAAAGGTTTTTCTCAAGGTTTTTCACAAGCCAACCTTCTATGTACCATGATCACTCTATTTATAGAGTCATATTTGCATGTTCATGCAAATTTGAGATCACCAAATTTTGATACTCAAAATTTCACTCAAATTTGTGGGGTTTATTTGGCAAGAATGCAAGTTTGGTTAAACCAAATTTTGACACCTCAAAATTCCACTAACATAAATGAAGTCAACATTTTGACTTTCTTCATTTTGATTCAACAATCGATTTGAATTATTAATTTCAAATTAAAGTAATATTAAATGATTAATTAAACTATTTAATTAATATTTAATATTAATTCAAATGTCAATCCCAATTAATTTCGACACATATTTGATTAAGATATTAAATCTTATTTAAATATCTCATATTATCTCTTTTTGTTTAATTCGTAAATAAAACAAAAATGCGGTTAAATATATCGTATATATGTAGCGCATTCTCCATAATTTGAATTCGAACACTTCGAACTCATTCGTCAGACTGTTCTATGGTTTAGTTCGTTATGAGCTAGCAGAGGGACCTAATGGACCTATAGATCATGGGCTCCAACGATCCAAGATTAACCAGTTAAACTCATTAACCTTGTTAACCAACATTCGTTAACTACTAGGACATTCCACTATAGCTAGTAGTTGCACTCCCCTCACTATAGATATATTTCTGTCCATTTGATATAACCATGATTAGTAAGTCGATTCTTCACAGGTTGTTCGTAACTAGAGCTAGGTCAATTTACCGTTTTACCCCTGAAGTTATTTCTTATTTCTTATGTCTCACTGATCCTCTAATGAACAATTGGTTTGTGGTCCAACCAGTAAATCGGATCTCTCTCAGGCCAATGAGAGGGTGGGGCCCCTTGTTCAAGATCTGGAGTAAGTACTTAAGGGAACTTTATTGAAAATAGAATATGTTTTTGTTTACAAACTATGAGTTTTAGGACATAAAACCCAACATGGATAGCTTTTATCTTATCGCTATCCATGTCGATCTGTCCACAACTGATGACATGTCCGAGGAAGTTGATACATGTTTGTGTGAAGACACATTTTTCTTTCTTGACGTACAATTGATTCTGCCGCAGCTTGTCAAACACTAGCTTCAGGTGCACCTTGTGTTCCTCTAGGGTTGTGCTGTATACAACTATGTTGTCGAGGTATATTACGATGAACTAATCCAAGTATTCGTGGAAAACCTGGTTCATTAACGTGCAAAACGTAGCTGGGACGTTTGTCAAGCCAAAGGGCATTACCAGGAACTCAAAGGCCCCATATCTTGTTACACATGTCGTCTTGGGCTCGTCCCTTTCGACAATACGTACTTGGTAGTAACCTGATCGTAAGTCCAACTTCGTGAAGTATTTGACCCCGTGAAGCTGGTCAAACAAGTTGGATATTATCAGTAATGAGTATTTGTTGCGTACTGTCACATTGTTTAAGACTCTATAATCTATGCACAGACGCAACGTCCCATCCTTCTTTTTCTAAATTAGTACGGGGACTCCGTAAGGTGCCTTTGCAGGGCGGATGAATCCTGCCTTCAATAACTCATCTAGTTGTTTCCTTAATTTGGCTAGCTTAGGGGGAGCCATCCGATATGCTTTCTTCGCTGGGGGTTTAACCCCGAGGAGGAGTTCAATTTCGTAATCAATGCCTCGACGGGGTGGTAGTGTTTGTGGTAGGCTCTCTGGCATTATGTCAGCATAACTGTCTAGTACATCCTTGACTCTGCTTGGAATAGTTTCCTCAGTGGTCCTTTCTTCCATCAGGGGCATAGCCATAAATGTAGGTTCTTCTCGTGCGAGTCTTCTTTTTAATTGAATGACCGAGATCATTCTAAGATTACCTGGTTGCTTGATGCTTGTAGGTATTACTGTGGGGTTGTGGTCTGTGATCATCAAGCATTTCGCCAGTGGCATTGGGATAACTTTTTGTTCTAGGAGAAAGTCCATCTCAAGTACCACGTCGAAGTCATCCATGCAAAACACGACAAGGTCCATCTCTCCCATTTAGGCCCCTAATTTGAAGGGGACTCTTTTGGAGACTCCCACAATAGGCAAGGCCTTGGAGTTGACAACTTTCATTTTTTCGGGGTTCTTTTCTATTTCTATGGTGAGTTCCAATCTTCATGCTTCTTGGTCGGCGATGAAGTTTTGGGTCGCACCTGAGTCTACCAAGGTGCTCTTGCTTGGTCGGGAGTTTATTGTTGCATCTACGAACATGAGCCCTTTCTCTATTATCTCCTTTGGGTCGACCTTTCAATGGAGGGCTCACAAGAATTTAAGTGCACCCATTCGGGGGTTATCTTGATCTTCCCTCCTGTCTGGCGTAGTTTTGACTCTTGTGTCGTTGCTATCTTGGATGGACACTTGAAGTGCACTGAGAGAAGCCTGATGAGGACAGTAGGACAGTTTGTGGGGCCTTTACACAACAGGCATTGTAAAAGTGTCGTCGGGTAGTTCTTCTGAGGGTAAGTTCCTCGAGATGTCCCCGCTTGGTTATTCTGCTGAGGTCTATCTATCCACCCACTTGGTCTGTCGTTACTTTCGTTTGGCCTATTGGGGACTTCATTTAGATGATCTGGCGGCTTATATGTTCTGCCCCTAGTGTTTGGGGTCTGTGTTGTTCTTCTTTGGAAACTCGCTTCATTCCCAAAGTCTAGGAGTCTCTCGGCGCTGGTGATTGCAGTAGCTAGGTCTTGAACTATTTTCTCGTGTATTTTTTTTTTTTTACCCACGGTTGTAACCCATTTATGAAGAAAAATACCTTGTCTTTCTCCGACGTGCCCCTGATATCTAGCATTAGGGTCGAGAACTGTCGGACATAGTCCCTTATGCTTCCAATTTGTTTTAGGGTTATTAGTTTTTCCATTGCTATATGTTCTACATTTTCGGGGAAGAATTGGTCCCTCAACTCTCTCTTGAGGTCTTCCCACGAGTTGATGGTGTACAATTCATTTTCGATGTTTTGCACCTTCGTACGCCACCAAAGTTTTGCATCGTCTATGAGATGCACTGAGGCTACTATCACTTTTATGTCGTCGGTACAAGCCATTGTGGCTTTGAAGTACTGTTCGACATCAAAGATGAAGTTCTCCAACTCCTTGGCGTCCTGGTTCCCTTTGAAGGGTCTGGGTCTGGGAACTTCAGTTTGTTGGATCCTGTATGAGTTTGCCCAGTCGTGATGTTCTCCACGGCTTTCATGGTCACCCCAATTTGGGTGTTCATGTCGGCCATCTTTTCTTGGATGGCATCGATCGTTGCTCTAAATTTGTCAGGTAATCCATTAAACAAACTCATCTTGGTATTTTGTAGCATGTCGAACTCTTCGCCACGTCCGTCCTTGTGTGCGACAGAGATATCGAGCTACTAGAAAGTCTTGAGCTGCTTGTAGGAGCAACTCTTTCTTCGTGCGAGGCCACTCGAAACATTAGTTCTGCGATTGGCAACCCATCCAGGCAGTTGCCCATTGCGTCGATTTGTACAACTTTTCCATTCAATTCTTCTAGGAAGCGGATGGTGTCAGGGACTTCTTTGAGAAACAACATTTTCTCCTCTATTAAAGTAAGCCGGTCGGCTTGTGATTTGGGTGTCGACTTTGTCGTCGACATAGTTTCGGTCTTTGCTATGTCACGGAGCTAACAAAGCTTTGATACCACTTGTCACAATCGCACTCTTGATGACAACGGACTTGCGATTGTGGACGACATAGTTTCGGTCTTTGCTATGCCACGGAGCTAACAAAGCTCTGATACCACTTGTCACAATCTCACTCTTGATGACAACGACAAGTGAGCTAAGAAAATTTGTTCTTACGTCGCCTACGGCCAAGCGATGTATGCTCGAGCCTCTTGCCTCGGTTTAAGAAGAAGGTTTTAAAAAACGAGGGTAGAGAGAGATGTTTGAAAAAGACATTATATAAGGAAGCAAAAGAGTAACAACAATGACTCATAGTATATAACCTTGGGTAGGGAGAAGTTGACAACTAGTCATATCCCCTCTAGTACATTCTAAGACATTTCATGTCTGGCAAGTCTAGACATGATTTTTCCGAAACGTCATACTCCCTAGAAATACAAAAGTAAAACACTAGAACATAGAAAGACATAAAGGGTTGGGCTTGTCGTGGGCATGCGGTCATGGGCAACACGCCTTGGATGAGCATGACCATGACACGGGGCATCCCACCTATAAGAGGAAAAAGGTCTCCTTAGAAAGCACCGCGTGGTGGGAGTTATGGGCCACAATTGGACATGCTTAGAGTATTGCCTAACATTCTTGAATTTTCATGTCTAGGGACTTTGATTTCTTATTTGTGAGTGGTACCTAGCATTCTTCTTAGCTTTGTAGTTGTAAAGCTTGTTTCGTAATGTTCATGGCTCTTAATCTTGTAAGTTTCTAAGGTTCTTATTTTTTTGAAGCATAACTTGTAACATGCATTCGTAATCATATGAACTCATCTTAGCGTAAGTGCTAGAAGGTCATAGATTCCTAGAGAGTTCTTTAGAGGTTCTAGAAGAGTCTTGAATCTTGACATGTTTTCTTTGGGCGTTTCCTTAAGTTCTATCTTGGCTTATGTTCCAAACTTACTCCAACCAACTTGAAATTTTGAGCTTATCCTCGTGTCATATAATTGTTTCGTTGAGCTAGGATATGACTTATTGTTTCGTTTTCAGGAACTAACCCTTAGAGGTTGTCATGTCATACATCGTGTTTTGGTCCTGAAAACTCTTCCAAAGTAACCATTAGTTTTCTCCCCATGAGTGCATGGTGTTAGGTTATGGAGTCTGCTCTTTTATTTATAGCTTGGTAAACAGTTATATCCGGTAAAGCTATATATGGTAAATAACTATATATAGTAGATGGTTAAATCTAGTAAAGCTATATATAATAAATAGCTATATATAGTATATTGTTAAATCTCGTAAAGCTATATATAGTAAACTGAACTCTATATATATCCCGGTAGAGCTTTGAAAATATACTTTCTTTCTGTATTCTCTGTATTCTCTCTTATTGTACATACTTGAAGTCATCAAAATATAAATCCTTTAGCCAGAGTTCTTCTTGCATTTTCTCTATCTTGTTCTTTGTGTTCATCTAGATCGAGTGTGTGCATTGTTATGCGATCCCAACACATAGGTGGCATTATCATAATCGTGGCATCCTGTTGGCATATCGTGTTGTAGGTGAGGAAAATAATAAGTCTATCATGACAACCTGCTCATGGTACATATAGCAAGGCATCTCACCTAAAGAGGAATAGGGATCTCGTGGTACACTTCATGATGGGAGATAGTGGCGGGCAGGGATCCTAGCAACTTTTTAAGCATGTCATTTGCTTTAACCTAGGTGTTTCCTCGTATTCTCGGGGATCCTAGGTTTATGCATAACGTCTTGGGTCAAGCTTGGAACTTACACGATCTTCTTAGAAATAGCCCCAATGTGGTCTCGTACATGTAGAATCTGATTAGAAACCAAGGGTACTTGTGGGGAATCTCTTATTTTATGGATACCTCTTTAATCATCCTAGGAGGTAAAGTCATGTGGATCGTGATGTACGTTTTACTCCATATCTTGGTTTTGCTATTTAACATTACCCAATGACTCCCAAACTTCATTACCTTATACAACCTCCTGAGATAAGGATTCATACAACATTTCATAATGTTGGGAGATCATTTAGGGCTTAACCCGTAGGTAGTCTTCCTTAGGGGCATTATGGTCATTTTACCCCTAAATTTTTGGTTTTGCTACTTAACGAGTTCCAATGACTTTCAAACTTCACCACCTCATCAATCATTATAAAATAAGATCTACTGTTGAGTTTCATAGCATTTGGATGTCATCTAGGTCATGAACCGTAGGTAAATATCCTTAAGGGCATTATGGTCATTTTGCCCCGTTTCTTGGTCTACCTACATATCCTTATCTATTTACCACTAAATTTCACATATAACCTAAACGTGCTATGATATGCTCATCATTAAAATTTCATAGGCATCAGGGCTCATTTAGTGGGTTCTTTTAACGTTCCTTAAATTCCGAGCAATTTGGTGAGTTTAGGGCCTTAACTCATAATTCTTTGAATTTTTATTTCATATATCCTTTTTCATACTTGGTTTAGGGTTCATATGGAAATCCAAGCGATTTCTTCAATTATTTCTTAACAAAAAGTCCAAGGTGGCTACTTACCTTGTCGTCGACGTTCGGGACCTCCATTCTTGAGCTTTCGGTATCCAAATTATTTTTAATTTTCTTCCACAGACTCCTTATTGTGTCTAGTTTATGTAACCATAAAGTTTGTCATGTGAACCGATCTGGAAGGGGGTTAAAATTGAGAAATACCGAGAGAAGGTCAGATTTTGGGCTGACTTGGCCGGTTCAACTGAATCGCCCACGTCATCGTCTTCTTCCTCTGGACAGGAAGAAGACGAGCGCGACCTTTGCGCCGCCATTTGAAAATCGACTTCCACCACTTCGATATTGTTGTTTCTCCCTTAGATTTCTTCATGAAACATAAAGATAGTATTATAAGGAAGAGCTTGGAATTGGTTTCATACATTGTCGTGTATCGTAGCCTAAGATATTTGCTTCTAGTTCGTCCAAAATCATTTTCCTCGCCGGAGCTAAAACAGGGGATTCTTGTTGGGCAGCCGATTATAGGGGTTTTCAAGGCCCGATTTCTTCATGTAACCTCTTTCATATCCTTACCCCAAGCTATAAGAATTGGTTTGGAGGAACGTCTTTGAGTGTGGGACCTTAATTTCCAAAAATCGTTCTTGGTATGCAACTCACCCGAAACGCCGAATTTTCGATCTCTTGACTAGCTTGTTCTACTACGTTTCAGCTCTTGATTCCTTCATAGAACTTGTGGGTAATATTGTTTAAAAACTATAGGAATAAGTTTAAGGAGGAATGGTAGAGAATTTCTCTCGAATTTGGAAGAAACTCAAGAGTAGAAGACCCACAAACTAAACGCTCATAACTCTCGAATGTGTGCTCGACCTTGCTAGAGTCTTGTTCCATATTGTTGCCCCTACTTTAGACTTTATAGGCAGAGCTTAAACAGACATTGAAAGCTCCAGAATCGTCGTGAATTGACGGTTGGATTTTCTAGAAAATCCGCCGGAAATATCTACTCCAATTAGAGCCTCACCGACTTTTGTTTTGCATAATAGCCATTGGATGTGATGATCTGTTTATCTTCTAGATCATATCCAATTTTGGGGAAGATCCAATTGCTGATATTTGAGTTTCGAGAGATTTTGCTCAGATTGCCACGGTAGAAGCTCTGATTCTGATCAGAGTGCCATTTTCGTAATTATTCGTTCTTCCAAGGGTATTTTGATAATTTGCGAATAATCTATAATTTTTCTAAATATTCTTCCTCCATTGTTGTTCATTTTTTCCTTTCTCCCGCATTTGAAATTCCTTCTAGATAAGTAATTAAAAAGGTGGGAAGATCCTTGATAATTGGGAAAAGACATTTTTGCCCTTTTTACTTACTTTCTCTTTCCAATCATTTTAACCTTACTTGTTAGGGTATAAGAATGACTTGTTTGAGATCCTCATTCTTTGCTTAATCTTTTAATTTCTTCCCTTTGATCCTTTGTATCTTACATGAGCGCCTTATTCTTGTTGGATCTAATTCCCTTCATTTAAGGGTATTACAGTGTATTTAAAAACGTCCACGAGCCTAGGATAGTGTATTTTTACGTCTATTTAAATACGTTTAATTTACAGTGTATTTAAATAGTTTCAATATTTGAAAACCGTTGACCTTAAATGAGAAATTTCAAGAGTTGTATATTTTACTACCATAATTATTCGGGTGTAAATGTAACTCTAAAGTAAATAAGAGTCTTGAGTCCATTAAAAAAAGCACGGTAACTCTAGATTAGGATCATAATCATCTAAAAATAAATGAAACATGTTTTTTTTTTTTGTTATAATTTGAACAACATTTTCTTCACATTTTTCTTAAAGTTTATATTACATAATTAATGCTGGTTCGTATCATTCTCACTTCTTCAAGAGAATTCGTCTGGTAACATTATAATAAATTTAATAATATTTCATAAACAAAAATATAAATAACGTTGTACATAATTTATAAAACCTCAAAATTTAATATTACATCTTAATATTTCACATTTAAAATAAATAGAAGTATACATAATAAATTAGTTATGTCTATATGTATATATAAAAAGTGAATGAGGTAGAGTGAGACGGTGTAGTGGATGAGAACAAAGAATATAATCCCGATCTCGTTAAACTAATGAAGAGAAATATTTTCTCACACTCTTTCATTTCGACCCGTGTTTATATGGTTAGCTCATAAATTTAACTCCGTTTTAAATTTAATAATATGAAAGCTAATTTGAATTTATGGATAAATTAATTAAGGAAGCTTCATACGAATTCATTCTTCAAGCAAATAATATTATACTATTTATAATTATTATTATTTGATTCTTCAATAATTCCATTTTTATATAACTGGGATTAGTTTTTTCATAAATTAATAAAACAAAATTTGAAAAAATTAATATTTTTACAATAATAAAGTATTAAAGATTTTTATAAAAAAAATTAAATATAAGAGTTTAAAAAAAAAAAAAAAAAAGAGTTAGTATTAATTATTTTTTAAAAAGAAAGGTGGCTGTTTTTACCAGGTGATTGGCGGCGAGTTTTATGCACCAAAGTTGGCAGTTTTGTGGACCTCGTGTGCGCCGGTGGCCCGTAGTTTTGGTCGCCCATTGAATCCAACCGGTTCCGATTCTCCATTGGCTGAGCGTTAGGTTTTAGTAGCAACGGCCAGTTATTAAGCTTTCAACGGCCATTGGGTGTCATCATCATTCACGCTTCTTTTGAATTTTTTAATTTCAATTTATTTTTTTAAACAAATATATATTACATGAATATTCTTTTTTTTTTTTTTACTTACAATGTTGAATAGAAAGTCCGCTGACATTAAATCAATTTAAAATATAATATTGTAATTTTCTTGATTAAAAATTTGGAATATTCCAATAAAATGCTTCTTTATTGAATAAAGTCAATTATAATATTATTTAATAAAAATGTAATTTAATATTTGATGCTCAAAAGGCAGGCGTGGATGCTCTTGTCACTTTTTTTAATTGCTCGTCTCTATTAATTTAATATATTTTTTAATTTTTAAAATATTTAATTTAATATAATTTTTAAAATGGATTAAAATATTTCTGTGGCCTAAATCAACGGAGCGGATGCATTATCACCGGTTATGAAACCTAATTCGAATCCAACGGCTGAGATTGTTCTAAGCAACTACTAATACGAGGCGTCTGTACGTTCCCAGAAACACAATCAATTACAACTCTCTCCACTGTTCTCCTTCTGCTCTCCATTTCCTTAGATCTAATTTTGAATTTTTTCGCTGATGGCTACAATCCAATCCGTCAAGGCAAGGCAGATCTTCGACAGCCGTGGAAATCCCACCGTCGAGGTTCTTATCTCTATCCCTTTCTACTTCAAATCGTTGATCTGTCTTCTTTACTGTCATGTTTTATCATCCTTCTCGATTTTCAAGGTTATCGATTTGAATTGCTCAAATCGACTGGTGGATTTGTTAGATATAGATCGATCGGGGTGCAATGGTTGTTGATTTTGTGGTTGATTGTGAATAGATTAATATTTTTTCTTTGAAGATGATGTACTATTTCTATTTTTAAGATCGATCTCAGGTTTAGATTGTTGAATTCTTATTTTGTGATATCGTTTTAGGTTGATATTGTGTTGTCTGATGGAACCTTGGCTAGAGCAGCTGTTCCGAGTGGTGCATCTACTGGTATGATGTTGTTTTTCTCCTCCCTGTTTGTCTGTGGTCTGTTTACATTGTTCATTTCTGTTTGGGTTCTTCTTAGGGAAAGCTCTGCGATCTAACGATCTCTTGATTTAGAGTCAGATTTTATACCTAATCCTTTTGTTTCTCAAATTTCGAAGGTATTTACGAGGCACTTGAGTTGAGGGATGGAGGATCTGACTACCTGGGGAAGGGTGTGTCAAAGGTAATGATTCAACAGTTTTCGTCATTGCATGGCTTATATTTTCTTAGATTTAATTGCTAGGAATGCTCGTGTCTGTGTATTTCACGTCACCCTTTACTTGTATGCTTTTGTAGGCTGTTGAGAATGTCAATGCCATTATCGCCCCTGCTTTGATTGGAAAGGTTCGTTGATTAGCTATTCTCTTGATTTGTTGTTGCATTTTTAATATCGTACATATCCGTGTTCAATATATTGACGGAAGTGTTTTCAAATTTCTCTTCAGGACCCAACTGAGCAAGCCCAGATTGACAACTTCATGGTTCAACAACTCGATGGAACTGTTAACGAGTGGGGATGGTGCAAGCAAAAGGTATTGGTTAGCTTTCCTTTGTCATTATATTTTGAAAATTCGGAGTTGATATTATAAATGACGTACATTTCAATTTCCAGCTTGGAGCCAATGCAATACTTGCAGTGTCACTTGCTGTTTGCAAAGCTGGTGCTAGCGTGAAGAAAATTCCTCTTTACAAGGTATTTTCTTTTGAAGGGATTAGAATGTCAATGTCTAGAAGCTTGATGATGCATATATTTTATTAAATCACCGAAGGGATGTGAATATCAAATGATTTCAATTTTCATATACTTGTTTATTTTTTATGCAGCACATCGCCAATCTTGCTGGTAACAAGAACTTGGTTCTTCCCGTTCCTGCATTCAATGTCATCAATGGTGGATCACATGCAGGAAACAAGCTGGCAATGCAGGCATGCATCTGGACTTTTTCTGATCCATTTATTTGTTGGCATATCTAGACTGTCTCTAACATACCTTGTCTTCAGGAGTTCATGATTCTACCGATTGGAGCTTCTTCATTCAAAGAAGCCATGAAGATGGGTGTTGAAGTTTACCACAATTTGAAGGTTGGTTATAGTTTTTGTCATAAATAACATTTCAAATGCATGCAATGCTGTTAGTTTCTAGTTCAATACCCTGAGCTTTATGTGAAAAATTGCAGTCTGTCATCAAGAAGAAGTATGGACAGGATGCAACGAATGTTGGTGATGAAGGTGGTTTCGCCCCTAACATCCAGGTGCTTCATTCGTTTAATTTTATTTTTCCATCTCATTTTGGTATACGGTTATTCATTTCCTTTCATTTACATCTTTGCATGTCATATTCACCAGGAGAACAAGGAAGGTCTTGAATTGCTTAAAACTGCAATTGCCAAAGCTGGTTACACTAGCCAGGTTAGTTTTAAACACGTTCAATGTTCTTGCTGATCTATCATATCCATTAACGGCGGGAGAGTTAAAAAGAACTTTTCTCTTATTATGTTAGGTTGTTATTGGAATGGATGTTGCCGCATCTGAATTTTATGGATCAGACAAGACCTATGATTTGAACTTCAAAGCCGAGGTAGGTTAATTAAGTCAAGAATGTCTACATTAATCACCATAGCCGTGGACAATTTGCAATGAACAATCTCAATTTATTAACTTGTGATTGTATTGGTGCAGAACAATGATGGCTCACAGAAGATCTCAGGAGATGCTCTTAAGGATCTGTACAAGTCTTTTGCCTCTGAATATCCTATTGTGTCTATAGAAGACCCATTCGACCAAGATGACTGGGAGCACTATGCAAAGATGACCAGCGAAATTGGAGAAAAGGTTCAAATTGTGGGAGATGATCTCTTGGTTACCAACCCCAAGGTAAGAATGGCTTTTATTTGGTTCAGGGGAACATATAACTATTATTGCATATTGAGATTCTTCAAACCCTTTTTAACTTCTGTTTTCCCATTCTCATAGAGGGTGGAGAAGGCCATCAAGGAAAAAACTTGCAATGCTCTTCTTCTAAAGGTCAACCAAATTGGATCCGTCACTGAGAGTATTGAGGCCGTGAAGATGTCAAAACGTGCTGGTTGGGGAGTGATGGCCAGCCACCGAAGGTTTGGAAATTCAGCATTTTTGGTTCTGTAGAGATATGTTTTTTATTCTTTTCTAATAGAACTGAGTTTTACTTGGTTGCAGTGGAGAGACCGAGGACACTTTCATTGCTGATCTCTCTGTTGGTTTGGCCACGGTACGTGTTGTTTCATTCTTCAACATCTTAATATCGGATCTCTGTAGAGGCATTATTTTCATTAATTGATTGAATTTTGGCTACTTTTGTGTTCAGGGTCAAATCAAAACTGGAGCTCCTTGCCGATCGGAACGTCTTGCTAAATACAACCAGCTGTTGCGTATTGAAGAGGAACTTGGCTCAGCTGCAGTGTATGCTGGAGCCAACTTCCGCAAGCCCGTTGAGCCCTACTAGATGAAGCTGGAAAGTGTTGGGAGAATGGATGGGTAGTTGTTTTGTGGAACTCAGATAATCCCAATTTTTACCTTAATAAGTTCAGAAGAGTTTTGTTCTGAGAGGTTGAACAATAGTGTGTTCCGAGAAGTTTCTTTTTTTTTTTTCCCCCTTTGTCTAGTAAGACATGATGCGTCATGTTGTAGTTGCGGATTATCCAGCTATGATTTTAAATGGATGAGTTCCTTTTAAAGCTTGTTCGACGTGCTTTTCTCAATTGCCTCGTTCTCTCCCTTTTATCTCTTGCGGCATTACCAAACATCATATTTTAAGTACTTCTCACAAACATTTTTTGGAACAGCCCCATGGGTTGTTAGGTGCAATCTTATGTGGCATTTGTTCTTATCTTAATAAACAATTCGGCAAACAATTAGGCAAAACGAGATTAGTGTTTGTAGAAAATTGAGTGATTGAAATGTTTGGGGGTGAAAACAGTTAAAAAAAAAAAAAGGACGTTGTGAACTAAAATTTCAACTTCATTAGCTAATAACAAATTAGATAGCATATAATTTAGATATGATTTTTGTGAATGGTAATACACACTTTTGGACACTTTTGGACACTAACATGAAAACCACATAAAAGGAGTTTGGAAGGGACATGCGACTATAGACAATACGTTCTGAACAAGCATATGTTATGAACAAGCATATAATTGAACACATTCTGAACAAGCATAAGCATATAATTGAACACGTTCTGAATCCTTGCAATCATTTTGGGACAGGCATACAAATGTCTGATGTGCAATCATAGGCTTTGGGACAGGACATACTCAATATGCTTTGAGACAAGTATGATCGCAGCAAGCCCAAATAAGTTTTAAAACTGAAAATTGGTTTGACTAAAAAAAGCAGCCTTTACAAGGCAAGCATACATGAGTCTGTTGCTGACTGATGGGCATATGAGGTCATTTGGATGCTAATAAAAAATTGATATGTTTTAAAATTGTAAACTAATGTAATTTAACTTTACAAAAATATTTAAATAATGTAAATCCAGTATCAATAGAATCAAACAAATCTAATGCAATATTTTGTAAAAATTAAAAAAAAAAAAAAAAAAGAGGTTTCTCTATGTCTTGGTTTAAAACTATACTAACAAAATTTGCAGGCTGTGGGGTTCGAACCCACGCGCACTTATGTGCAGAAGATCTTAAGTCTTCCCCCTTAACCACTCGGGCAAACCTGCGAATTGATTGTTGTTATTCGTGTTTTATATTTAATTATAGATTATTTTTTTAAAAAACCTAATCATTAAAACCACATCAGAGAGAAGAGGAAGAAGCAGAACTCTGCCGGTCTCGAGAAAAAGAAAAATGGCGGAACACTTGGCTTCAATTTTCGGAACGGAGAAGGATAGGGTTAACTGCCCCTTCTACTTCAAGATTGGAGCCTGCCGACATGGAGATCGCTGCTCCCGGCTTCACACTAAGCCCAGCATCAGCCCTACACTTCTTCTCTCTAACATGTATCAGAGACCTGATATGATCACCCCCGGCGTTGACCCTCAGGGCCAATCCCTTGATCCTCGCAAGGTCCAAGACCACTTCGAGGTTTCTACTCCCCCTTCATTCTCGCCCTTTCCTTGATTTTACATTTATTTCTTGGATTTTAAACCTTTTCTTTCCTTTTTCGCGTCTGGGATGCAGGACTTTTACGAAGATCTGTTCGAGGAGCTGAGCAAATACGGAGATCTTGAAAGCTTAAATATTTGTGATAATTTGGCTGACCATATGGTGTGTTTACATTTATCTTTTAAATTGAAGCTATATTGGGTCCTGTGTAGTAGACTGGTTTGATTTGAATTCCGTCGACAGGTGGGCAATGTTTATGTTCAGTTTAGAGAAGAAGAACAAGCTGCTAATGCGCTTCATAATCTTAATGGACGTTTCTATGCAGGTTTTATGTCTTTTCCCTGCTGAATTTCTTTAATGAAGGAACCAATCTTGTGGATGCTATATGAGTACTCTTGTATTAGCTTAGTGTCATGAACATTCCTCAGTACGATAAATGCAAAATCGTTCTTTTTAAGTTATTCTAATGTAGATTTAGTGAAATTTAGTTTGGATTCCTGGTTCAAATAAAGGATTTATCTCTTATATATATATTTTTATCATATTTCTTGGCACATCACTAGTCTAACTTTTACTAGAGGAAAATAATAGTTTCTAAAACACCATATATATCGGTGGTTGGTCGATTCAATGCTGATAATGTAGTCATGTGTTTAAGAGCTCGATTCTATTACATGATTTTCATTTTTGGATGTCAATAATGTCCTGAAGTTGGCTTGCAACTTTGGAGGTTTGATGGAGTTTTCCCAAATATGAAGTTTGGGATATTCGTGGGTTTCTGTTATTGTATCGTTGTCATTAAAATTTAGACTGCAGATATCCACTTTGTCAGTGCTTGCTACGCACTCTTCATTTTTATTTATTTAGTTTTCTTTTGTGCCCATGAAGTCTTGATTTGTAGTTACTTGGTCTTATTTGTGAAACTTGTAACAGGGCGACCCATAATTGTTGACTTCTCTCCGGTGACGGATTTCCGAGAAGCTACTTGTAGGCAATATGAGGAAAATGTATGTAATCGTGGTGGCTATTGTAACTTTATGCATCTGAAAAAGATTAGCAGGTAATATTGTCATCACAATTCCCTTGTTTCTCTGAAGAGGAATTGGTTACCTAATGATCCTTATGCTCTTTGTTGTAATTTTCCATGTGCTTTTAGAGAGTTGAGAAGGCATTTATTTGGGAGGAACAGGCGCAGGCATAGTAGAAGCCGAAGTCAAAGCCAAAGCCCCCATAGACATCATGGATATGATGAGCGTCCACATGGTGGTCGTGAACGTGGATCTAGTAGAAGAGATGGAGACAAGGACCCTCGGTACCATGATAGAAGCAGGAGGCCTAGAAGCCGTAGCCCTAGGCATAGAGGGGGACGGAGTAGGAGCCCCGGAGGGAGGAGGAATAGAAGTCCTGGTAGGGAAAGTAGCATTGAGAGAAGGGCTAAGATCGAACAGTGGAACAGGGACAGGGAAAAGGCAGACAATGGGAGTGGTCATCAGGATGATGGTGGAAGCAATGACCTTGTACAAAATGAAGATGAATTCGATCCTTCTAAGCAGTACTAGAGAACATGATGGATGCTGTTGCTTGCCTGAAAGAGACATTACTGGTTTGGCTCCTTCCTTTTCTTGGTTCAATTTAGGGGCCATAGTAGAATCCTTTCCCCTTTATCAAACAGCCCATTTTCTAAAAGAAGTAGCTCACTGCCCATTTCCACTGTGCAGGTGGAGGACAGGTTCCCTGTCACGTGTTATTGAATGTGAATTTTCCAGTTTTGTTAACCTCGTCTCCGTCGCCTTAGAAACGAATAAATAGGATAGAAATACTTGTTAGTGAGTAATGTCGAGGAAAATTCTACTATATTTCAAACCATCGTTAAATTGATCACAGCTACCCCTATCCATCGTTCTTTTTGTCGTTCCTTCGCTATAAACTCTACCCACGTACACCTTAGTCGCAAGTCCTTCATGTTTATGGGAATCAAGGGATCAAACAAAACCTGATATCATAAGTAGAATGTGTGCTTGTAGTGCTTAGCCTGCATAGGTCTTGAGAAAAGACTAAAGAGGAAGGACAAAATTTTAGGATCAGTCATGTTTGCTGATGATTACCACTTTCTTATGAAATAATGGTTAATACATATTCTGTCCCTCAAAATTTGACCTGTGATGTGCTGTTCCCAACTAGTATTTTACATAAACTTTCAACTTGTAGATATATTCATCATACTTAAAGCCGAAGTAGAGATCGTCATCGGTCTTTGAATGTTATTGACCCCCGTTCTGTATATTGATTTTTTAAAATCGTTCTTACATACGCTGCGAGTTTTGCAGGTTCAGGATTTCCTGCTTGCCCAAATACTTCTTAGGCAGCTTACCATGGTATTCATAATACAGGTTTGGCTGTTATCTCTGGAGGATTTGCAGGATCCGGTGAGATGTTTGGTTGGAAACATGAAGAAGGAAGCTTCTTCTTTAATCTTCTGTAGTGCTGAAAAATGATCACTAATCCATAATCAACAAACAAGTAAGTTCAAGGTTTTGTGTAGTGGTGCTTTCTTGCTTTGAATTCTGTTGTATTTCGGATATTGTATTGACGTTTTCAGAAATGAATAATAATTCTATGGAGATGTCATTTTTGATTGTGTATTGTGATGAGTACTAATGTTTCATTTTGACTGGGAATATCTCTGATTCTTAATCATCCACCGTTGTAGTGGCTATATACACTGCGACAACTGATACCAATGGCATATGATCGCCATTACTGGATTATTATAGATTTCATCGATAAATGTAACCACATTTATTAATGATAAGCGTCTTCACTAATATATCACTATTTCATGTTTTATCATCGATAAATTGATATCATTGATTCATGTTTAGGGTCGATAAAATGATAGATGAAAATACACGGTAACTGTCCAAGTAGACATGTTGTAATAGTTTAAGTAGATATGTTGTAACAGTTCAAACCAACCGTTAGTAGATATTGTCTTCTTTGGGTTTTCCCTTTCGAACTTTTTCTAATATATCACTTATTCGTGTTTAATGTACTATTATGTTAATCGATAAGTTCTTTATTTTGGATCAGGATTCTTTTATCATAACATGGTTACATTTATTGATGATAAACGTCTTCTAACTAATATATCAATTTTCATGTTTATCATTGATAAATTGATAGATGAAAATACGCGATAGACATGTTGTAGTCCAAGTAGACATGTAATAGTCTAAGTAGATATGTTGCAACAGTTCAAACCCACTCTTAATCGATATTTTCCTTTCTAGGTTTTCCCTACCTTTCTCGGTAACAACCTAAGCTAACCATTAGCAAATAGCAAATATTGTTCTTTTTGAATTTTTTTCTTTTGGGCTTCCTTTCAAAGTTTTTAAAACCCATATGTTGGGAAGATGTTTCATTCTCTTCTCAATCAATGTGGGATTTCATAGGGAGATGTTTTCACACTCTTATAAAGAATGTTTCGTTCTTCTCTCGATCAATGTGAGATTTCACACACGTTGAATTGGGACAATCTTTTTAACTTTTTAAATTTTTTTTTCAATTTTCTATTATTTAATCCAAATGGTTACGTATGCAATTTGTTCGAGAAAATAGTCAATAAGTAAACATGTTTAAAGTTGAGATTGGAATCTTTGTTCTCTAAATTTAATTATGTACTGAAAAAAAAAAAACATTATTAATGACAACAAATGTGGAGCTGCCAGATGTCAAAAAAGCGTTCTCTTGTAAAACTCAACTCCCACCCCCAATTACCAACCTGATATAATATCTGATTGGAGTTAAAAGGGATCAATAAAAAATTTGAATTTTTGATCTTTTAATTTATCGAATTTTTTATTTTTAATTATCGTATTTATTTTTATTATTTAAATTGGTAAATAAACTCGATCATATTAAATTTATTACTAATTATTTGTTGATCCGCTCTAAAAAAATATATATATATAAAAAGAAATTAGAGTGGAATGAAATAAAATTGTGAGTAAAACAATATTTAAAATTTAAAGAAAATGAGATTAAAATTCTAAAATTGAAGGAAAGGTACAACGGTGACACCTTTTCCCATGCAAATATTATTTTACAACAAACGTGCAATCCAATTATCCAATTATCCAAATTTCGAAAAATAAATAAAAAATAAATAAAAAGGACGAATATTATATTATTGTATTTCACCGGAAGAATAAGTTGTCGGTCAAAACTCAGAAGAACTTCCAAGGACTAGAAAGTAGAAAAGAAGAACTGTTGTAGTAGTGAATGAAAAACGATCAGAATCTGAAAGCTCTGTTTTTGTTGTTTTTTCTTTCTGCATTTTTTTTCTTCATTCTATTTCAGCTGTTTTGGATTTGAAGCTGCTCCTCGTTTCATCAACTGTTCTTCCCAATAGTGTAATTCCTTTTATGGATAATCTTGCTTGAATTATGAATTTGTTTGTATAATCATGTTTTGATGTGCTAATTAGCTTAAGTTTTTTTGTTTTCTCTTCTGGATTTTGAATTTTATTTCGGAAAGTTCGTTTACTATTTAAGCTTCATGGAAGAGGAGGATTGCATGCAACAGTACTAAAATCTATATCGTTTCTGTAGGATTTTGATGCGGAAACAGAGCTTTGGATAGCAGCTTCAAACTATGAGTGTGGAAAATCCATGGATTCCTGCGACTCCGATGAAGCCCTCGCGAAGGCCATTGCATGCGGAAGAAAATCAACAGAAATCAGATGGATCTACTGAAGAAATCGAAGCTGGAAAAGTCCTTGCATGTTCCGATGCTTCTGATTTGGTGGTGGATTTGAATGAGATGAAATGGATTGGGAACGAGGCAAGTTCTTGTTCCATTTCTGCTTCTTCCGATAAAGCGGAGTCCGTTTCACAGGGTAAGTCGTCCTGCTAAATGATTTTGATTGATTTTTCGTCTAGGGCTGGGCGATTCTAGATTTTAGTTTACCGATCATTATGATCATTGAATTTGATAGCTGAAAATGGCGTTGAAATTGAGCTTAGCCCTAATAAGAAAGGATTTGTGCGAGTGAAATGGGTTGAGCTTGTCGAAAATGTTCATAACGAGGCGGATATGTTTGTTTTTGGATCATCAGTTATGGTTTCATCAATCTGTTTCTGTGCATTATCAGTATATTTGTGTTACTGTTTGAGGTTTTCAGGGAAAAATGAACTAGAAACGGTGCCACGGTCTCGTTAGAAACGTACTTTTTTGTTAAACCATAGTTTTTGATCTTCATTCATGATTTTGATGTTCTTTCGGATCACGAAATTGTGTCAGGTGAACTTTGTAGTAAGAGCATGCCTCATTTTGTACCCCCAACACCGGATAAGAGGGCTAATGTGGAGATCAAACAGTTTGTCGAGTCTCGAAGCACGCTAGCAGGAGAAAAAAAAGAGGAGGGCCAGGAAGAAAATTGTAAAACTGTCAGTATAAGAACAGATGAGGATGGCCTCGAGCAGGAAGGTTGTGAGCTAGTCTTGGATTCATCTTGTGCTCCATTGTTAACACCGATTAAGTACAATGACAGTTCAGACAAAGACGTTGCCGTCAGTGGGAATGAAATAGCGAAGTTGAAACAGTATAAAAGAAAGCACAGGCCCAAGGTAATTACAGAAGGCAAGCCAAGAACGTCTAAATCAACCACCAAGAGAGCAGCCAATTCCCAAGAAAACTTGAAAACTAAGAGGAAATACGTCCGAAAGAATGCAGTTAACAAACCCCTGGAAAGTCCTCGTGAACTAGGAACTCTTAGTCCGGTCACCCCAGAAGTTACTGGTTCTAAAGAAAACTCAACAGGTCTAAGGATGTACACTCGAAAGCGTGTAGTCGACACACCAGAAACTTCTATGGTGAAAACAGGAGCAACTGATGTGGAAGTGCAAAAGCGGAAACGTAGTAGGAAAACATGCAGGAGGAGTTTAAAATTTGACAATGAAGGAAAACAGAAAGATGAAAACTCTTTGTTCGAGTATTCGTCCAACACTTCGGGATTGCTGGCACATATTTTAACTACTGAAAGTTACCAACCGCATTCCATGCTGAAGCAAAGGAGAGAAAGTGACACAGTGTTCGACCACAGACAAGCTGGGATGTCATATAACCCAAATCCTTCAATGAATCACCAACCAGAAAACTGCAAATGCCTTCCTGAAAGTCAAGTATCGAGCATTGAAGTCCCAATTGAATATAGCACATCGCTGTTAAAACTTAAAGTTAATCACCATAAGAATCACAGAGGGACGGGGAAGTCCAATTTGACTAATCATTTGTTATCAAGTTCAAAAGATTCATTCTGGAGTAGTACGACCGTCTCAACTGAGAGAAAAGAAGCAAGGGGTTTGAAGAGAAAATGTAGTCACAATATCAAACAAGATTGTGTCAGAAGTTTTGATTTAATTGAGGAATTTTATAACTCGATTTATGCGTCTCAGATGCCACATGCAGAGTACTTCTCCAAAGAGAAAATTGAAAAGGTGCAACATTCTGGCCAGAATCCGTGCACATCAAATGCCAGCTACTGGATTTCTAGACCTCAGCCTCACAGTTGCTTAATCCCATGGTCGGACCAGAGCAACATGCGGTCGATATATTCACCCAAACAACCATCAGTGATTACTGATCTTCAAAGAATTGAGAATTCTCACAGGCATCACCCATCCTCAGGTGCCCAAGTTGACAAGATGCAAGCAACAGCAGCGAGGAAAATACAAAAGCCGCACCCTCTTACTTCACATTCCCATATGCATGGAGCAGACCAGCACGCAAAGCTTTCATCATATTGTCACTGCCATACTTCCCAATTGCCTCCAGGTTCGTTCCTCAAAACTAATTCCAGTTCTTCATCAAGGTCAATTATTGATACTTTTGTTTGCAAGAGTTCAAGGGAAAGACTGTTCCTAATAAATTTTAGTGTGGTGCAGTGACGTCTTGGTTGGAGCTTTTTGCCAATGCCATGGTTGAAGAAATGAAGATTTTAGACATTAACAGAGAAGGAAAAATATCATTATATGAGGAACATAATGAAATGGTAACTTACAACATGCAGAACCAAGGGCATAATGCACTTGTTGTGTATAGAGGAGATGGCTCTATAGTACCTTTCGAAGGTTCTTTGAATCCTGTCAAAAAGCGAAGACGATATGCCAAAGTTGATCTTGATGGAGAGACGATTAGAGTCTGGAAGCTATTGATGGACAATTCCAATAATGAACTTGTTGATGGATCGGATGAAGATAGGGACAAATGGTGGGAGGAAGAACGAAGAGTGTTTTCTGGACGAACGGACTCATTTATTGCAAAGATGCATCTAATACAAGGTACAATTATATGCTTCCAAGCATCTGCATTTTTGCAGGGAAACTAGTTTTTAAAATTATTAAAACATTAATATTAACGCAATAATTTTACAGGAAACAGAGGCTTTTCTCAATGGAAGGGGTCGGTTTTAGACTCGGTGATTGGAGTTTTTCTCACCCAGAATGTCTCGGATCATCTTTCAAGGTGAACTATAGTTTTCACTCGCAAGAAAAGAGAATAATTAAATATCGTCTGACTGTTTGCCTGCCTCTTCCTTTCAGCTCGGCATTTATGTCACTTGCTGCACGCTATCCCTTAAAATCTAGAAGCCTCGACGAGTCAAGTGTTGATGAACGCACGAGCTTGGTAGTCAATGAACCACAGGCTAATTTGTGCAGAGAAGAAGATAGTGTAACATGGGTTGAACAGATTTCAGATCAACCAATTTATAAACAGAATTGCATGACCATGTGTGGAACTGGCCCAGATGAAGAAGATTTTTTCATCAGCAGTGAATCTTCAAGAAGCAACACATCTGGGGTTTCCTCTATGCATGAATACCAGTGCTCAACCGTGTCTTGCGGTAGCCAAAATATAGGTAAATTGGAAGATAGAAGAACGACAACGGAAACCAATACTATAGCAGAAGCACGTACGTTGGGAGAAGAGAAGACTGCAGATGCTGCTATATTATCTAAAACGTCGACTGTTTCTGAAGATAAAATGCCCTGCTTGAAAAGCAACTGTGGAAAGGATCTGTCATCAAGAGATATTAGTGTCAATGGGCCTGATTCATCTGTGGAGGTCGTACAGAACATAGAAACAAATAAGCTGAAGTCAGACTCCAAAATTGCTAGCGGTACCGACTCATCCGATGATAAGTCAGAGGGTACTTGTACGTCAGAAGAGAAGAACGTTGATCAAAGAGAAAAAAACGATAATGCTGATTGTCATAAATGTCTCTCAAAAGAATCTCCTAGTCATTCAAGTAATCTATTGCAGAAAACTTCGATCTTTGGAGTTACGGAAGTTGAATGCTTTGAAATGTGTGGAGAAGTCGCCCCGTTTTCCTATGTTTACAAAAGAAAAGATGTATATGATACTAATGAACGTACACAGACACGTGACTCTTTATCTCAAACTACTATTCTCAACACCGACGACGTTCAAGCTAAAGGACAACCCGGAGAATTGGGCAATCTCAGTCAAAGTGACCAAAGTGTGATATTCCAGTCTGAAGGAAGATTGATTGCAGTGCCCCATGATATGGAATCACAGGATTCAATGGGCAACCGGGAAATACATCAAACTCTGCCAGATTCTTTGGTAGATAACTCTCTAGATGCTACCGGGAAGACAGAAGAACCAGGTCAAAATGAGCATGACCATTCACTTAGTATTAACTTCGATGATCCAAAAGCTGATACGCTTAAACCAAACAGAGAACGAGTAAAAAGGGAGAAAAGGGTTGGTGTTGACTGGGACAACCTTAGGAAACTGGCAGAGGCGAGTGGAACGAGAGAGAGAACTACAAATACAATGGACTCATTGGATTGGGAAGCTGTAAGATGTGCAGACATTGACGAGATCGCTTACACCATCAGAGAACGAGGGATGAACAACAGGCTTGCAGAAAGAATTAAGGTACACCTTTAACAGCTATGAAAATGAAATTCTAATTCCTTGGATCATCATCTAAGTTATTCTGAATTTGAGCAGGATTTTCTTAACCGTCTGGTGAAAGATCACGGAAGCATTGATCTCGAGTGGTTAAGGGACGTTCCACCCGATCAAGCAAAGTAAGCTCATTTGTTCTTTTTTTCAGTTAAGATCGAAAGAAACCGAACCCACGAACATTATTTCTTTCATATTGCAAATACTGTTCGCAAGATACTAAAATCTTTAGGCCTTATACTACAAACGTGTAGAGAATATTTACTCAGCGTAAGGGGGTTGGGATTGAAAAGCGTGGAGTGTGTTCGGCTTCTTACCCTGCAGCAGCTTGCTTTTCCAGTAAGTTCAAACAAGTAGCTTTTCCGTTACTTCTCAGAAAGATGTAAAAGCCAGCACATTTTTTACTTTCCCCCCAACAGGTGGATACTAATGTCGGGCGGATAGCTGTAAGATTAGGATGGGTACCCCTTCAGCCATTGCCAGAATCACTGCAACTGCATCTTTTGGAGCTGTCAGTAATCAGTATGCGAGCTTGTATCTTAAAATTCTTAGGATTAGTATGCTCTTTGAAACATTAAATAATGTTTTTGTGCCCTTGCAGATACCCAGTTCTTGAGTCCATTCAAAAGTATCTCTGGCCACGGCTGTGCAAGCTTGACCAAAGAACATTGTAAGATATTCCCTTTTTTATATCAATACTGGTTTTTCAACTGACATTTAATATTCTGGTCTCATAGGTATGAGCTGCATTACCAAATGATTACATTTGGAAAGGTAATTATTTTACAATGAATTGTTCTTTTGATATGTGGTTTGTGTTACTGAAGATGAACTAAGCAGCATACTCTGGTATAGGTCTTCTGCACAAAAAACAAACCAAATTGCAATGCTTGTCCAATGAGAGGAGAGTGTAGACATTTTGCAAGTGCTTTTGCTAGGTTTGCATTTCTCACTTCTGCTGCATCCATATTGCATATGTTATTACGAGCGAGCCCTTCTCCCATACATTTCCCGAGTGTGCTCGACTTGATCCCGAGGTTTCAAAATGTTACACTTTTACCCCTGAATTTGGAGTTTAGTCTTCATTTGGTCTCTAACTCAACACTCGAGGGCAAAAAGGTAACAGTTTAAAACCTTGAGACCAAATTGAAACTAAACTCAAATGTTAGAGGTAACAAAGCAACGTTTTGAAATCTAGAGACTAAATGGAAACTATATTCGGTTCTGAAGTACCAAAAGGGTATTTTTCCCGTTTCTATATTCTAAACATTCCTACAACAAAAACTTTGTTGGCTTCAAACTTTGTGATGCACATAAACAATTATCCAAAATCTACATTAATATCTTGAAATTTGTATTTGATACTCATTAAAGTGCATACGAATTCGTATTCACTTTCGAAACCTTTCATGAGATATTTCAACTGTTTAGTGCATTTCATATGCATAAACTTTTTGAAGTTACTGAGTGAACATAAATGCAGCGCGAGGCTAGCACTGCCAGCGCCCGAAGAAGAGAATTTGCTTAATGCGACGGAAATAAAGGCTGATACAAACCAGTCTGTAGTTGTTCATCAACAACCGTTGACGCTCACTCAGGCGTTAGAGCCAATTGAAAGTAATCAGCAATTAATCAGGGTGAAATCTGGAAGTAACAACGAGCCCATTATCGAAGAACCAGCTACACCGGAGCCAGAATATCCACAGATTTCTGAAAACGACATCGAGGATACATTATATGAAGACCCTGATGAGATTCCTACAATAAAGCTTAATATTGAAGCATTCACTAAGAACGTACAGAATTACATGCAAGAAAATATGGAACTTCAGGAAGGTAGCATGTCGAAGGCGCTCGTCGTCTTAAGTCCAGAAGCAGCATTGATTCCCATGCCGAAGCTTAAGAATATTAGTCGACTGAGAACGGAGCATCAAGTGTAAGTACGCAGTTCCCAGCTCTAAAAGATTAAATCTTTAACCAGGAAGTGTTATCAGTTAAAGGAGTAAAAGGAGAAACAAAGTAGTGTTGAAAATGTTAGATTTACTAGAATTGCTATCAGTTTCAGAATCAGGCTGTGATTGTATTTTACCATCATGCAGTTACGAACTTCCAGACGCTCATCCTCTTCTCGAAAAGGTTAGCTACTCCTATACATCTAGAAGCTGAACTGTTTATTCATTCATGCTCTGATTTAATTTTGTTCAATTGTTTTGATTCGTCTCGTATGAAAGTTAAAGCTGGAGAAACGTCAACCAGATGATCCGTGCTTCTACCTTCTTGCTATATGGACACCGGGTAACGATGAAATTTTAACGTCGACCAGATGATCCATGCTTCAAACTTATGAACTCGTTAATGTTCTCTATGTTTAGCCAAACGATTCTATGCGATAAATTTGATGTTATTTCATCAGGTGAAACAGCAAATTCTGTTGAACGACCGCATACACAATGTCGTTCTCAAGAAAGCGGTGAACTGTGTGGAGAAAAAGAGTGTTTCTCTTGCAATAGTGTCAGAGAAGCTGATTCGGAAGTGGTTCGAGGAACACTTCTGGTGAGGATAGGGGCAGCTAATATACGTAATTATCCCCATACGATATCTAAGCTAACCAGTTATAGATACAGATCCCATGTCGAACCGCAATGAGAGGAAGCTTTCCGCTAAACGGAACTTACTTTCAAGTGAATGAGGTACTATGGAATTCTAACATGGCTTATAATTTCACACCAAGTTTTAAGTATTGCAACGTGAAGCTGAAGTAACGGTGGAATCATTCTTATGCAGGTATTTGCTGATCATGATTCTAGCCTCAACCCAATAGATGTTCCTAGGAATTGGTTATGGAAGCTCTCGAGGCGGACAGTGTACTTTGGAACCTCGATACCGACGATATTCAAGGGTATGTATTGTGAAGGGTAATGGTTTCTTTTACCGTGTTTCTTTTAGTAACACTTGGGTATGCACTTTTCATGTATATTAGGTTTATCAACCGAAGAGATTCAAGGTTGCTTCTGGAAAGGTAAATCTTTGGCTGTTTAAAATTATTTATGAGGCTAAATGAGTCGATTAGCTGTTATAATTATCTTCGTGCTCGTCCATCTCAGTCGAATTCTCTATGATGAGACCATTAAATTATGTTGAAATCACCTTGAGCACCAAGTCCCTTGGAAATGGCCTAAGAGGCCAAAAAATTCTGCCAAAAGTTTATCCCTCTCTAAACTTCGTTGGACCAAGCCTCTAAACAACCCCTTCGATATTTGTTTTATTCCACTAGGTTGGCAAATGTAACCGTCCAAGCCTACTACTAGCAGATATTGTCTTTTTTGGGCTTTCCCTTTCGATTTTCACTCAAGGTTTTTAAAACGTATATGTTAAGCGAGAAGTTTCCACACCCTTATAAAGGGTGTTTCATTCTCCTCCTCAACTGATGTGGGATTTCACAATCCATCTCCTTCGGGGCCCAGCGTCCTTGTTGGCACTCGTTCCCTTCTCCAATCGATGTCCACACTCTTATAAATGGTGTTTTGATCTCCTCCCCAACCGATGTGGGATTTTACAACCAACCTTACCACAAAAGGATCCAGCGCTCATTTGAACTGCTATTCTCAAGACTCTTTCTAGGCATACAGAGGAGGATAGATATCACGTTCTGTAATTCTCATGGAAGCCAGAATCATGTGCACTAAAAGAACTGTGGCTCAAAATATAGAACTATGAGAAGCATCCTTATAGAAACTTTCCACAACTCGATCCCTACATCGTGTGTCTAAACTCATTAGCTTAACCAAAAGACATTCTTTCGAGCTTTTTCGAGCTATACAGAAGAGGATATCACATTCTGTGTTTCTCACAAGTGGGTGACAACGATTTGCAGGTTACGTTTGTGTTAGAGGTTTCGATCAGAAAACACGAGCACCTCGTCCTCTGATAGCTAGATTGCATTTTCCAGCTAGCAAGGTGACTAAAATCAAAGGTGGTAAAGACGGGCAAGCCAGATGATAAGCAGACAAAGTGGTGTAAATGTGTCAATAACCCATAAAGTAGGAGTGTCTTTCATCATATGCCAGTCAATAGTGAAATGGAAAGATCTAATCATGTTGTATTTTGTATTAATTTAGTGTATGTATTAGTAATGTGAAACTCGAGTTATTAGACTGCTAAACCATAAAAAGAAACCGAGACGGTTCGGGAGCTCCTACAAATGACACAAATGCTTGCTCGAGTTAAAACATTTTATTGAATATATATCAATGGAGTTTTTTAGTTTAAAAGGAAAAGAATCATTTCAATGTAATGGAAACGAGACAAATGCTCATACGTAAAAAGTGAAAATAAGAAAATAACTCCTATAAACCTCTCCTATAAACCTCTATGTTGAGTTTTTTTTAGGTTTCTCTTCAACTGTTAAAGAGAGGTTTCCACACTCTTATAAAGAATGCTTCGTTCTCTTCCCCAACCGACGTGGGATCTCACAATCCATCCCCTTTTGGGGTCCAGTGTTCTTGTTGGCATTCGTTCCTTTCTCTATTCGATGTGGGACCCCTCAATTTACCCCCTTGAAGTCTTAGCATTGTTGTTGGTACACATTTCGTGTCTCACTTATAGTATTCTAATTTATGAGTGCATCTAGTTGTCAAGTTTGATATTGTCGTGACAATACAACTATAACTTAGGAAATCGAGATAGCTCAATAATCCATATAATCAATAGTATTACTCATGCATTAGAATCTTTGTTTACGTCAACCTCTTTATCGGGCTTTGAAATTGTTGATATCATATTGTTTATTTTTCCTTGGTTGTGGAAAAGTTTTTGGTACCATTGGATATGCAAAGTTCAAATTGTCGATATCATGATGCTTGTACCATTGTTCAAGAATCCATGTAATCAATAGTATTACTCATGCTCGACCCCTTGACCTCTTTCAACCATGATATCGGGAAAGGGTTCAGCCAAGAGGAACAACACGTCCTCCACTTCAAGCACCCTGCCGTAATAACTGAATCACTCTTTAGATCTAGTCGGTGGAAGGAAAGTCGGTGACAAATTTGGAGAGTTCGAATTCATGGGCATAAAAGGAAACTTAATAAAATATTAGGCATGGAACGTGAAACATGATGTGTCTCTTAAGTTGACCATCGAAACTTGAAGCATGCCCTAAATAGCTACACACACGACATAAAATAAAGTAAAATTTTTTAATGATTCAATTTATACGTCAATTAAATCTTTTTTTATAATATTTTTTTTTTTAATATGATTTATATTTATAGTAGTTAAATGGCGTGATTAAAAAAATTCTCTTTATTATATAAGGCAATGACAAATCCTCTTTTGTCATATAAGGTAATGACATAGGGTTTGTATTGACATTGCGAATAATGACAACTCACTCAACATGTTCTTTACCAGAATTTAAAATATGCATAACCACATTTATATTAATTTATGAAATATGTATGACGACAATTATATTAATTTATGCAAATAAACAAATAAAAAATAAAAAATATTAGGTAATTGGTTGTTATTTCAACCCTTTTCCGACACAAAATTTCAACGGATTATATAAATGAAATCACTTTAAAGTTTTAATTTATGAATAATTAGTTTAGAGTTTTAGAAACTCAATTAAATAGTTTAAATTAAATTGCTTTTAAAATTACGTTGATTTTTGTATAATTATTTTTAAATTTAGGCCATCGGATCGGGTCGGGTCGAATTTGAAGGAAAAGTGTGGTCGGTGTCCAATACCAACACGTGTCGGATAAAACCGAAATACCACCTAAAGCCTGAAAACAAAACCACGTCCGCCGCTCACGGCGGCGCTCTTTGTTTTCCCTCTTTACAACCACCTATACCAGCATCCCACCGCCACCTGCCACCTTCCTTTTTCTTCTTTCTCTAAACCAAGTTTTCCATTTCCACTTTTGCCCTCTCCTCTTCCACCCAATCACCAAATAAATAAATATTTTAAGCTTATAAAAATAAGATTAAATTATTAAAAATACTCCCTTCCTTTTTTGAACATTTTTATAAGTTAAATATTTTTTAAAAAAGTTTTAAGGCTTTTTTTAAGCAAATTATTTTAATATATAATGTTTTAAAATATTATTAAAACAGGTACAAAATTTAATAATATTTTATTGAATTTAGCTTAAAAAATAAACAAATGGGTTTTAATAATAATAATAATTATAATAAAAAAAAATTGTTTACAATGATATATAGAGGGTGACGGTCTCCAATTTTTAATTCCATCTATAGTTTTTCTTTTTTTAAAAAAAAATAAAAACAATTATTTAATTTTATTTTTAAAAAATAGTTTTCTTTAATTTAATTTAATTTAATTTTTTAAAGAAGAAAAGTAAAACCGGGCTCCTGGACAAAGGTGGGACGGCTCAACCGATGAAGGGCAGAAATGTAAAATCAATACAAAAGATCCGTTAGTTGATTGTCACGTGCAAATGCTGAAAAGTGCGTGGCGAGGCACCTTTATCGCTGTTTCCGCCCTCCTTAAAAGCCCTAGCCCTTTCTCATTTTCGTATACCCCATTCGCAATTTTCTCTTCTCCGAAAGCTCCATCTTTGTTCTCTTTCAAAGCTCATCCAACATGTCTTGTTTCAGAGGCAAATACGCTGGTAATTGCCACGATCTCTTCCTCCACCATCTCTTTCCTGCATTTCATCTCATATATCCGATCTGAATTCTGTTGCTTCTTCCTTTCTCTGTCCAGATCTAGTGTTGCATGTTTTATGTACTTGCATTTGTTTTCTCGATCTATTTGTTTGTTAATGGGATCCGGAATGATCTGCTTATTTGGTGTTTTGATTCATTGTTTTCGCTTATTTGGTGTTTTGATTCATTGAACTCATGCTTTCTAGCACAATATATCATTCGATGAGACGGGAAACTATGTTAATTGTCTGTTTGGCACCAGATTTAGACGTTTTCTTTACGTTATTGTCTTAATTTCGATTGCCAGAAAGAATAGCTGTTGATTAGATCGACAGGGTAGCAGTCCAGATCTATATTTTTAAGGTTTGCTCTCCGTTAAATACGAAATGAATCCATGGATAACTACAAACTTCTCTTACCTTCACCGAAACTAGTATATACCAGTAGAACGAAACCAAACTTTGTCTTTGAGTTAATTTGGTGGCTGAGTCGACTAACCTTCTGATTTAAATCTTATGAGTAAAAATGGTTATTTCATGTTGAGGTTGTACTTTTTTTGTGGACCACATTATTGGATTTAGTTTTAACCTGAAGGACAAATTCTATTGTACTTTGTGAATCTGCCTCGTGATGTTTTATCTTTTGAGTATTTTGCTGCTTTTGTTGAGGAATTCTCGAAGTGGCGTTTCTTCATTCTGTTATTTATCATTATTTCCGTATTTTCTTCCATGCAGATGAGCTTATTGCCAATGCTGCCTACATTGGAACTCCTGGAAAGGGTATTCTAGCTGCTGATGAATCCACTGGCACAATTGGAAAGCGTTTTGCCAGTATCAATGTTGAGAATGTTGAAACCAACAGACGTGCTCTTCGTGAGCTTCTTTTCACTGCTCCTAATGCTCTCCAATACCTTAGTGGAGTCATTCTCTTCGAGGAAACTCTCTACCAGAAGACAGCTGCAGGTATCTGATCTATTCGCATGGTCTTTTTTTAATAGTTTGGATTGTACTTTCTTAATCTTATAGACAGACTGATGGTTCTCCACTTTTTTTCCCCTCTATTACTTTGTGCAGGCAAGCCTTTCGTTGATGTTTTGAAGGAAGGTGGTGTACTTCCCGGCATTAAGGTTGACGTAGGCACTGTTGAGCTTGCTGGAACCAATGGGGAAACCACAACCCAGGGTCTTGATGGTCTTGCTGGCCGCTGCCAAAAGTACTATGCAGCTGGTGCTCGCTTTGCTAAATGGCGTGCTGTGCTCAAGATCGGTGATAACGAACCATCACAGTTGGCTATCAATGAAAATGCCAACGGATTGGCTAGATATGCCATCATTTGCCAGGAGAATGGTCTTGTGCCCATTGTTGAGCCTGAGATCTTGGTTGATGGTTCTCATGACATCAACAAGTGCGCTGATGTAACGGAGCGTGTTCTTGCTGCATGCTACAAGGCTCTAAATGACCACCATGTCCTCTTGGAAGGAACCTTGTTGAAGCCCAACATGGTTACTCCGGGATCTAAAGCTGCAAAGGCTGCACCAGAAGTGATTGCTGAGTACACCGTCCGTGCCCTTCAGCGTACAGTTCCTCCTGCAGTTCCTGCTGTGGTGTTCTTGTCTGGTGGACAGAGCGAAGAGGAGGCCACCGTCAATCTCAATGCCATGAACAAACTCAAGGGAAAGAAGCCATGGTCACTTTCTTTCTCCTTCGGACGTGCTCTGCAACAGAGTACCCTCAAGGCATGGGCCGGAAAGGATGAAAACATCCCCAAGGCTCAGGATGCTCTGCTCGTGAGGTGCAAGGCCAACTCTGAAGCAACTCTTGGAACTTACAAGGGTGATGCTAAGATCAGCGAGGGTGCCTCGGAGAGCCTCCACATCGATAACTACAAGTATTGATGATGAGTTTTGGCTGGATGTTTTGTTAGGGGAGAAAAAGAAAAAAGGTTGCGGTATATTGTGTTTGGATTTGATTCTGAAGAGGTAGCTAGCTCTCATTTCTTCTAATTCATTGCTAATATCAAGTAATGGGGTAGACATTGGTAATAAAGCATGAGGAGCGTTGCCATGTTAGGTCTTTTTTTAAACTATTTTTTTCACATTTCAGTTGGAACAACAACCGAAGAATATCTTCGTTTTGTGTTGTAATTTTGCTTTTTTTCATTGGTTAATAACACCATTTGTGGGTGGGAGTTTTATTTTGATGCAATTTGAATTTTGTAGTAATTTTTCGAGGGTAAATTTTTTGCAGTTTTTTTCCTTTACATACGTGTACGAAGAGGGTTTTAGGGGTGGACATTACCAATATTTGATAGCAGTGACATCAAGCTAGACATTGAGCAGTGAGTTTGGTGTTGGGTTAGATTGTGAGATTCCGTGTTAAGTCCGACACTAAACAGTATGTCTAACAATGATGTTATGCCTTAAGAGAGTGGATTGTGAGATTCTAATTGAGATTTTGGTGTTGGGTTAGATTGTGAGATCCCGTGTTAGTCCAACACCAAACAGTATGTCTAACAATGATGTTATGTCTTAAGAGAGTGGATTGTGAGATTCTAATAGAGGTAGATTGTGAGATTCTAAGATGTAATTGGTATGCTTCTCTTTAATAGATATGTACTATAAGAAAAATTAAAAAAATATTGAAAAAATAATTAAAGTCGGCGTGGTTTTGATTTATGCTCTAAAAATAGTATTTTTAACATATGGCCGAAGTACTTTTTAAAAAATCAGTATTTATTTATTTATTTATTTATTTATGGTAATTAGTTTTAAAGAAATAGAATATTAAATTGGGTTGTTGAAACTTGCGATGAGGTACATAGTTGTTTGTGTTCTCCATTAGTTACCAAGTTTGACCATTTAAGGGAACATATTTTTATTGGGATAGCGAAATTACGCTTGTGGGCCCCAATCAAGAAGTTAGAAGATGGTGAGTCAGCATCCAACAATTAAAACACGGTCTCCTAAACTTCCAATCTTCAGTTGCCACGTCAGAATAATTGAAATGACATGTCAACGTAACATCATGTGGTGGCCCACAAGTTTGAGAAACCAGAAGACTAGTCAAACAAATGTCTGTTGTGGCATGGGGTATCTCATATTCCATTGGATCAAAATAAGCATGAGTTTATAATAATCTTTTGATTGAAAGAGAGATTATTGTCGCATATGATTAATTAAATGAAATGCTAAGATATGAAAGATATGGTATAATATACAGCAAATATTGATAGACCACCATCACTCTCCTCTCCTATATACATACTTTCAACAAGCAAGTTCCACAGCTAATTCCTCCACCAACACACTGAAAATTGCAAGCTCCAAATCCATGGCGGCCCCTCCTCTCCTCTCCTCCTCCTCCTCCTCCTTCTTCCACTCCCCGACCTCCTTCCTTAGATCTTCCTCCACCATCATCTCAATGGTGTTCAATTCCACCACTTCCCACTCCTCCAACCTCCTGCAAACCCTCTGTATAACCTCCTCTCTCGCGTCGAGACCGCTTCGTTTCGCATCTTCTTCGGCAATGAGGTCCATGACGAGTTTCCTCATGTCTCGAGGTTGGGAGCTTGCATTGTTTGCAACCTCTTTCACGAAATGTTCGATGTTGTATGTGTTATCCCATTGAACTGACTCTTTGTAGTTTTCTAGCTCTTCTTCTTCTTCTTCCTCTTCCTCTTGAATTATTTTCTCGAGCTCGAATGGGTCCAAGTCGGCAAGTCTCTCGAATCTTCGAAGCTTGTTTAATAGTTGCTGCTTTGTTCCTAATATGTGTAGAAATGGGAATCAGAAACATGGTAAGGAAAATGATGGCTTTGGAATCTTTTCAATACTAAAGCTACTTACTTTGGACTGTTGCATAGCTGCATTCCAAATTGTAATCTACGTCCCCGTCCCCGTCCCCGTCCCCGTCCCGGTTGTCACGCTGTTCATCGTATGTGTCGTCGAAGGGACCATCCAATACAGACACTGGACTACATTGCTCCTTATCTTCTTCATCTTCTTCCGCCTGAAATTTCTTCGAGCTTTCTTCACTGTTTACTGTTTCATTCTGTAGAAACATTCAAACAAAGTTCAAAAAAACTAAGGATGATGGATAAGACACAACTTAAATTCAGATTCTATGAAATCCCACGTTGGGTTGGGTTGGGTTGGGTTGGGGAGGAGAACAAAACACTTTTTATAAGGGTGTGAAAACCTCTCACTAGCACAAACACATGGAGATGTGCTAACGAGGAAGGCTGAGCCTTGAAAGGGGAGAACATGAGGCAGTGTGCCAGCAAGAACGTTGGGCCCAAAGGGGGTGAATTAGGGGTCCACATCGATTAGAGAAGGGAACGAGTGCAAGTGAAGACGATAGGCTCCAAAGGGGGTGGATTGTGAAATCCTACATCGGGTGGGGAGGAGAACGAAACATTCTTTTATCTGTGTGGAAACCGAACGAAACATTAGGGTATGGAAACTTCTTCCTAGCAGACGCGCTTCAAAAAACTTGAAAGGAAACACAGTGAGAAAAGCCTAAAGTGGACAATATCCGGTAGTGGTGTGCATGACCCGTTACAGATTCTCTACTCAGTTCTCTCCCATCTTACTCAATAGATGAGTAACTTCAAATAATAAGGCTAATTCAGTCAGTTGAGTGATCACTAGAGCATAAAAACCCCAATCAGCTAATCATTTTGTCAACCATGTAGATGAACTTTCAATGGTTTAACCAAATAAGCCTTTGGGTAATCAGTTGCGATCAAACAAAAGTTCAAAAGAATTGCTCATAAATTTATACCGCAAAAAACATAATGGGTTTTGTCTGTTTGACGCAAATAGTTTTTCAACCCGACACACTCTCAACTCCACAAAGAAAGTAAAAAAAGAAAAAAACAATCAAAATTGCAGAGATATGCTTAAGAGTACCATCAAGAACACACAGAGCATTTAATGTCAGAGTAAATTTTCAAACCTCTTTGTTACGGCGACAAGGAGAGGCCGCCGGCGACAGAAAATCCGGCGTCCGACAACCGTACGAGGAGCTTCGCTGAAGAACAAATCGGAAAGGGCTTTCACAGAAGTCTTCCCCTGAATCCACAGAATGGCTACTACAAGAAGTCCCCAAATCCATTGATCTTCCTTCTTCGTTCGTTTCCGACCAGAATCCATAGCTAGACCTTCCATTATAAGAACTCGTCTCCCCCTGCGTTATTTTCCTTCTAATGGCGCTTTTTCTATGCCCAAACGACGCTAAATCGCCGCCATTATCACAACCTTCCGTTTCACGGTCAGTGTTGTTCCGATTTCGAAGAGTTAATCTCTTCAAAACCGACCCAAATCGCGCAAGCCCTTGATTCTTAATCTGGGGTTTCTTAGATTTCGCTGTCGATTTCTGTTTATGAATCTTTAAAGCAGCTTCAAGAAGCAACGCCGCCGTTCTAGCAGGAACATGGAGGAAAATCGCATTAGGGCTATTTCTATTTCTGGCCGGCGAACGAAACTCAAACAGGGGAGATTTCCGGAGCTCCGGCGAGGGCTGGAATGATTTAAAACAACCATTTCTGCAGAAATCTCCCCGGAAAACAGAATTTGACGAAATGGGTTTTCGTTTCTTGAGTTGTAAATCGGTTTTAGGCGAAACCCTTTTGAGATCAACGCGTTTGTCGGCGATGTATGTGTTCAAATGGAAGGGCTCTTGATCCTGTTGCAGTAACTCGTGCAAGGGCTTGTGAGGCATCATGAATGGAGGAAATTGGAAGCCAATGGATAGCAGTTTTGGAGAGATCGAAGAGGAAGAGGAGAGTTGGGGGATTTAAAAAGGGTCACGAATTTGTGGGATTATAAGAAAAACAGAGGAATTAAGATTAGATTAAAGTGTTAATTGTTTTTTTTAATGTATTAATGGAAATTAAATTAGGAAGAGAGTTGTTGAAGAAAGATTCCATGCATTGCTATCCACAGACCACAAGGTACAGCATGCAATTAACTAAATTAAAATAATAATAATAATAAATGGAGGTGTTCTTTCTCACTCATCTTTATTTATTTTTTTTTTTATGTGAGAGAAAGAAATTTTAATATTGAAAAAAATAGGTTTGAGATGTCTATTTACCATGCAGACTCGGGACCTCTCTTGTTCGGGATCAAAATTTTCCATCTAATGAAAACTGGGAGAGGAAGTACGTAACGAGCCAAAACGGATAATTTCTGCTATCAATGAGCTTGGATTGTTATAAATGATATCAGAGTTCATCACAACACTTAGTGAAGTAGGACTAGACTCTCTCCACAGTAGACGCGTTCTTAAATTGTGAGATTGGTCGATCATATGTAACGGATCAAAATAAACAATTTCTACTAACGGTGAGTTGGGTTCTTATAGAGGAAGAGTTTTCTTCCGAGCTTGGTTCTCCATCCCTCTCTTTGCCCCAATTCTCGTATGGTTTTGTTTCATATAATGTATATATTTATAAATGTCGAAAATTAGAATATTATATTATATTATATTTTTAAAAATATTATTAAATTTATTAAAATGTTTTATTTTTTTAATTATAAATTATATTATTTTGATTAAAGTAATTTGGAGAGTTACAAAAAGGCAAGAGAAGCACCAAAAAAATCTTTGGAGTTTCCATGTTTTTATTTCCTCCAATTTCATAATTATCTCTAAAATTATTAATTCCGAGCATAATTAACTCCTTAAAATTTTAAAATTCGTGACATTTTCATATCTTTATAAGGGATGTTTTATTCCAAACTTTAATCGATGTGGGATCTCACACTGTTAAAATCGAGCTACATGATTCTATTCCAATATAGATCACGAGCAATTGACGTTTTGATATACAAACTTTTTAGAGTATGTACGTTTGCATATCTAACATTGATAGAAAAGATACTTACCAAATATTTTCAATTTTTTTCCTAAATTTTTCAAAAAAAGTTAAGGGTACGTTAGGGATGTGACGAGGAGAATTATCGAGTTGCTACTAGTGCTATCTCTTTATCGTCTCCACATTTTTTTTTAATGACATTTAAAATTAAATTGTTTTAGTGAAAGTTAATGAAAATGATGGCGTTTTTGTCCTTTCTTAATAAATTTTTCATTTTGTATTTTGTATTTTGTATTTCAATGCATCTTAAAAGGAGCATCCCATCAAATTTTGTCTCACTTTTTGGAAGAAAAAAATATATTATATATTTTATTTACTTTTAAATACTAATTTCAACTAATTAAACAATAAAATAAA